GTCTAATTGGTTACAATTCTTGTCTTTGGTGGATGAGACCATGGTTCAAATCCTAGTATTGATATCTTTTTATATGAAATAAAAAATTGATTGTGTAGACGAAAATACCCTTCCTACTTTCAGTCTCATTGCAGGAAATTTGAAATGGACCAAATCAAACTCATTAACCGGAAAAAATTCCAAGAAATTCTCAAAATACACACGTTATAAAAAAAATTCCCAATCTAAAAAAACGTACAATTTGGGATTTTTTCCTGAGTAACCGTACTCGCATGCATGTTAATAACAATCAACTTCATGGCATGGCAAATGCATGAAAACCAATACCTATGCAATACACGAATTTTACATGTCCATTAACTGAACAAACGTGATCAAAAGATGAACAACCAATTCTTCTTGCAATTATTATTTTTAACCTAACCAGTAACATGAACAATTAATAAAAGTAAGATTCTTTAAGATTGTCGTCGAAATTGTTCACGTATACTATTTTCTTGTAAACAAGCAACATGTAAGATCATGAAAAATCATGCAAAGATACATATGAGTTATGACCGTCCTAGCCGACAGAATTCACTATCTGTCCTTAAAGAATCTTATTCCCCTATAGTACCCAAGGTTGTGGAATGATTCCTCCTAGGATAGAAAGGATGTACCTTTTCCGGCGTAGCAGTATCTCAACCCCCGGAAACCATCGAACGCAGCGAACCGGCGAGAACCACACTTGACTCTATTTTCTCTTTGAAAAGAATGCAGAAAAATTAGTTTTGGATTTAGCAGAGTTTTGGTATCGGAAAAATCCATTTATATCTCATAGTTAAAACTAGAGGGGGGTATAGTGCTATTTATAGAAAATGAAGGGGTGCATTGAAGGGAGGCAACTCTTCATATGGGTGGTTACACCCCAACCAACGCATTGGTTCATTTTTAAATAATGAACCATTGCATCGGTTCGGCCCATGGTAGTTGGACCGGTTCGATTATTCCAACCGCCTCATCGGTTTGGTTTGATTTGGGTCAACTCGGTTTGGTTCATTTGTTTACACAAATCAATTTAACCAATTAACCTCATATTACATCAAATCGATCGAATTCAAGGCCGTGACTTCCCACATCTTACCAACATGATACTTCAAGAGACTGTCTTTGAACTTTCCCCTTTCATTTCCATTCACACCACTAAAAAACCCAACAAGAAATAAATCGAAGACATATTGTATTCCATTTTTGCGTAAGAAAAAACCATAAAAGGAAAAACTAATGAACATGATGGGTTAATTGCATGGTTGGTCACTAAGATTACAAAAAACGTTCATGTTTGGTCACTGAAAATATTTAAATCCAATCTTGGTCACTTAAATTAGTTAAATGGTTCAAGTTTGGTCACTCTCAGTCCAAATCCGTTAAATTTGTATGATGTGGCAGTCAACCCTCAAAGTTGACGGTTAACTCGGTGACATGGCAATTAAAAAATAATAAATAAAACAAAAAAAATTATTATAGTTACAAATTGAAAGGGTAGCTTTCTCCTCCGCCACCACATCCCTTCCCCGCAACCAAACCATCTCCCAATTCCCATCCCTAGCTCCGTCTGCTGCCGCCGTCCCCGCCGCTCCCCGATCATAATCACCTGCACTGTCGCCAGCAATCGAAGGGTATACTTCACCCTCATCAGACGAATTCCTCCCAGCGAACCAAGACCCTTCTTGTCTCCTCTTCTCTCGACCTTTCCCCTTGTCTTCTTCATCTGTTTGAGACAAACATATATACTTCACCCTCATCTTATCCCATCACCTCCTTTGACCTATGGAACGAATTGCAGGCGAAATTGCTAAACGAAGCAGCGTAATTGATGGAACCAATTGCAGAACCAAATGGCAGTGGAAAATGAGGGCATGGGATTATGACGGCTGCGAACCCTCCAAATCTCGTTTCCCTCGACCAAATCCCTTGTTCAGTCAGAGGAATCTGGACCTCGCGACATGTAACATGACTTCTTTGTCCAAAAACTTCTCTGTGTAATAAAAAAACAGTTGTCGCTGCTTAGATCATATGACAACGGTCACAGAAGCGGCCGGAGGTCGTATCTATTCCCAGATCCCTTCATCTTGACAGAATAGTGGGTCACATCAGAGGATGATGAGCCCTGATTTTGTATATGGAAGGTTCGATGTAGATCCTGGAACGACGACAAAGCAGGGGATGATGTTGTTTCGGTCGATTATTTGATGGCCAGTAGTCACCGTAGCTTCGAGATCTCACCTGTGCTGTCGCGAGCAATCGAAGGGTCGTGTAGTAGGCGGAGAGCGGGCTGGGACGACGGTAGGGGGCAGAGCTAGGATGAGGAATTGGAAGCTGATATGGTTGCGGGGAAAGGATGTGGTGGAGGAGGAGAAAGCTACTCTTTTAATTTGTGACTATAATAAATTTTTTAATTTTTTAATTTTACTTTATTGTGAATATGAGTTGGAAATGGTAGAATATTAAAATTTATTTTATTTATTATTTTTTAATTGCCACGTCATTGAGTTAACGGTCAACTTTGAGGATTGACTGCCACATCAGACAAATTTAACGGAGTTGGACGGAGAGTGACCAAACTTGAACCATTTGACTAATTTGAGTGACCAAGATTGGATTTAAATATTTCCAGTGACCAAACATGAACGTTTTTTGTAATCTCAGTGACCAACCATGCAATTAACCCGAACATGATCAAAGTGAAAAACATTATAGATTCACGTTCCAATCAGGAGAGATAAAAAGTTATGTACCCGACAGAGTAGATTAGTTTGCCTCATATCATAAGCCTGTAAATGTAATGTGGTAGTGGCAGCATAAGATCTTCATCTCCGCTTGAGGAACGAATTAGTTAGCAAGCAGCCATTGGTATTTGGCTTGTCCTTTTCCTTCTTCGGTTCAGAAACCCAAAATTTGTCTACAAATAACTATAAGGGAATGTCAGTGATTAATTTTTGCCACCTCAGCTCATCCTCGCTAACCCGCATACTTCGGAGGGTTATGTATGTAAATTTCCTCCTGCCCAATTCTTTCTATCTTCCTCTCTCTTTCTTCAACCGACCCTCTCGATTCTCCACCTTCAATTTGATCCACCTTCAATCTTGTTGTCGCGGATCCCATCCAAATCCAGCCCTCACCATTGCCATCACCATCGCCATTAGGGGTGGCTATACGGTCCGATCCGGTTAAATTGGACCAAATTGATCCGGTTCCAGTCCGGTCTTTTTGAGAATATAAGGACCAAAGATTGGATTGGATACAGTTCGGTCTTGATTCGATCCGGTCCGGTCCCAATTTGATCTTGATTTTAAGTGTTGGGGGGTCTCTTATCCGGTCTTTATCCAATTTTTTACCTCAAATCTAAGCCCGAATATGATATTGGATTGTTTGCTACCCGATCCTTGTCCGGGTTATACGGTCCGGTTTTGGGTAAAACCAAACAGTCCGGACCAAATAGCCAGCCCTAATCGCCATCGCCATCGAAGACCCTCAAAGTGTCGAACTCTCTTTTCCCGCCTAATTTGTTCATCTCCGAGCGATTGCCTTCTCCGTCCCTTCTATAGTTCTATTAGCTTTCTCGGTGGCTGATTCAAGTTGTCTGCAGCTCCTCTCTCTTCCCTCTCTTCGTTCAAAATCGCTGGAAATCAATAGTGCTCATGATTCCATGTGTTGTGAGCATCTGAACGTTCCAGATTCCAGATAAAGAGTTGTTGATCTTTGCTAATCAAAGCTATGGAGAAGGTTTATTATAATTCTGAGGGTTGCGTTCAGGTTAGTCCCAATTTCCTTCAAACAATAGGGATTCAATCTTTAACATCTTAGCAATGCAATTGTTAGGTAACAAAATGGTAAAATATGAACTATACAAGGAAATTAAAAATAGTACTCTCCCTATTTGTAGATTCTTAGTCTTTTACTGTTTTCACTTTTCCGGTGCTTTGTAGAAAGTAGGATTGATGGTATGCCGGACACTCAAGAAGAGGAAGCCCAACGGCGGGCAGAGCAATAAAAGCATCACTCACCAGGTTATTATTCCCGACTACCTTCAAACTTTCTGAGATTAATAGTTTCTATGGAGTCGTTAGTAGGGGTACCTGGCTTAGGAGGTCAAACAAATGTTACTACTCTCTTAGTGTAGTGGCGCATTAAGCAGACGGTGTTAAATCATATAAATAGTTGTTGTGGAATCGTTACTGGGTTTTATGAGTTAGGTCAGCAGATTGTGTGATGTTATACAAGGTCAAATGTGGTCGGGGAATGCTTGGGTAGGCCATAAGTAAAACTGAGCTATTTTGTAATCAATACATTTGTGGGATTTATACATTCATGTAGTCTATATTCTCAATCTAATAGGTAAGTTATCATGGGTGGCTGCTCACTGGACTCTGATAGGTTATTGCAGGATGAAAGGTTCTCCGAATTGAATTTAGTTTTGCTTCTTTCCATGGTTGTGAAACAACCATAGTAATGCCACGTCATAAAGCTTCCTCTGGTCAATTTGATATGTTAATTTTATCCCTAATTTGATGTTTTGTCCATCATAGTTATGCTTAATTTGAATGCGATTTATCCTTCCCACTGTGAGTTTTCCCTTGGCCCTCTTTGCTCTGAAATGTAGTCTGAATGGTTGTTGTACTTCAAGGCCTCAAGAATTTGCAGTAGCTAACTAGCTATGTTCAAACTACCATATCCTCTGTAGCAATAGTAATCTTCAAAAATAGAATGAAACTAGGATAGTAGAGTTTTAAAACACCATTTATTCACCTTTATACATTCATTTGATTCCCTTTGCAATTGACTATTCACCTTTGTTGCATTTTCTTTCCCACGTTGTTTCTTTTATTCTATGTTTCACCAAGTTTTGATATTTTATCTTAGACACTCAAGTTAGCTTATATGGTTTGTGTGGTGGTCTCCCTTCATTTTATGTTAGCGTTGCAAATACAGTTTACTTTACAATTATCTTCCGGTCAGTGGCTAATTCCCAGTTTTTCTTTATGTTCACTCATTGACCTTCATTTTATTGTTGTTTGTATTCAGCTCAGTTGTTTGTATTCAGCTCAATTGTTTGATTGTATGGATTGTGGTTCATATAGTACTTTGGGGACAATTTTGTCGAATTGTTTTTCAATTTGGAGTTTTAGGTGAACATAGAAATGTTATCTCTACTTCTTTGACCTGAATTAATATTCTCTTTGGTTAATACTGCAATTGTGATAATAAATTTTCTCTTATTTCATTCAGTTGCTTACTTTTTTTTTTGTTATTGTAAATGTTATTTAACTTTTGCAGTTTTTGATAATCAACAGATGATGCTCCAATTCAGCACAACGAGAACCTGAGTGGGCGTTGGGCAAGAAGCCTGACCTTTTTCTTTTTTATGAAGGTGAAAACTGCATTAACGGAAAAAGAAAAGAAGTATGGATGTACAGCTGGAATCTATCACTGGCACAGGGAGTGCCAGTAACCAGATAAAAGCAAAATCAGTAATAGCACCAGCACAGCAACTAACCAAGATCACGCAAAAAAAGCTAAAACAATAACAACAACAACAGCAGCAAATCAGCAACACGCGACACTCCGATGCATCGAGGGGAGTCAACATGGGCGAATAAATAGATGACGATTGTTCTGAAGCCACTGGAAAGCCTGCATTTGATCAATTTTTCCATGAGCGACCAGCCATCCCATAGCCAAATTTAGAACTTTCATAGCTGTTTCTTCAGCACTCTTCATGGCATTATTGAAGATTCTTTGGTTACGTTCCAGCCAGATGAACCACGATACCACGTGAAGAGCGACATACTTGAACCAATCTTCAATGTTATCAGGACTGGTGGCAGGCCACGATCTGATTATATTAGTGAGATCAGAGTTGAATGGGAAGACAATGGATCTGACCTTAGGTATAGAGAATTAGAGACATACAATACATGTGGATTGCCAGAGTGGAATCCTCTTCTATTGCTGCAGCTCAAATGTTCTTATTTTTAGAAAGCTTTTCAGAAATGTGCCTACCACTTATGATGTAGAATTTATGTATTGAGTAGCAGTTCTTATGGTAATGCTATAATGCTAATAATCAACCTCTTCTTTTTCCACTCACCTTCTCTTTAATCTACGTTTCCTTTCCACCTATTATTATTCTTGAAGGACAATGTGTTTTTTGTTTAGTGGTATGTTGTGAGTGTTTTACTGTCATCCTCCAAACACAATTACAAGTATAGGTTGTAAATAGTATGCATTTTTGTATTAATTCAATCCGCTAAAAAAATTATGAGGGCATTAGCTGAACTTTGTTTCATGTAGCTTATTATTCTCTTACAAAACTATGTCGACCAATGGGCCGGCGCCGATGCTAGTTATGATTTAATTTTAGGGTAAATTACAAGGTTGGTCACTGAAATTACTATAAAGTTTCAAGTTTGGTCATTAGAAATACTTAATTCTGTTCGTAGTCACTAACTTTACATTTTCGTTTCATCTTTAGTCACTCTCCGTCCAATTCCATTAACTTTTGTCTACGTGGCAGTCAACTCTTATAGTTGACCGTTAAATGTGTGACGTGGCATTTAAAAAATTAATAAAAAATAAAATTTAATAATTCAAAATTTCCACATCATTATTGTAATTCATAAAAAATAAAAATTAAAAAATAATTACTTTTAGACTTTCAGTCCCTCTGCTTCACCTCGCTCTCTCTCCTCTCTCACATTCGCCGTTCACTCTTTGCCAGGAAGATCGCCGCCGACTCTTCTAAATCCCTAGATGTCGCTGCTCAATTTTTGTGCGATCTCATCGTTGGCCCAAACTCATTCATCCCTAGCCCTTTCACCCCTCTCCCATCCTCGCTATCATCAACCCCTCTCTATCGATCTACCTCCTCCATCCCTCTCCTTTGCCACTTCCACGGCCGATGTCGCCTGAAGAAACGACCATCGTCTCCAACATCATGGAGGCTTTCCATTCCCATCCTCCTCCCGCCGGATGATATCGCTTACTAGTGGTGAAACTAAGAGGCAGGCATCGAGTCCCTTGGCGTAGCCTAGAGTCGAAGCAGGGTAAACGTAACGACCGACGACCCTTTTTCTCCATCAAATGGTAAATTCCTTTTTCCTTCTATGATTATTCCATTGCTTAATAAATGATGCCCTCTTTCTCCATCAATTTCACGAGAGTAGCGGAACTCGGAGATTGATTCATCTTCCCGTTGGTGGCCTCTACCCTGCATAGAAGAATTTCACGCCGACGAGCTTGCGGTTGCAAGAGGAAGAAGGGAAATTGATAGTCGAAAGAGCGTAACTTTGCACTCGGGTATCCGATCGCCGACGTACGAACCTTCCATTTTGATGGGATCGAAGGGAGTTCAAGGTCTTGGAAGCTTTGGCGGTCGGGAGAGATGTCGTTGTCGAGTATCGCGATGACAAGGTCGGAGCAAAGTTGTTGTTCTTGAGGAGGCCGGCGGAGTCGATGGAGGTGCTGAGGCCGAGGAAGTGAAGGGAGCGGTTGTGAAGGAGTCGGAGGTGGTTGGGTAGAGGGAGGTCGGCTGAAGAGTGATTACAGGGTTGTGTAGAAGGCGGAGGCGGTCGGGTAGAGGTTATTGTATCATGAAATTTTAATTTTATTATTGTTTCTTAATGGTGGAAAATGAGAGGGAAATTCTAAAAATCTTGAAATTTATTTTTTATTAATTTTTTAAATGCCACGTCACACATTTAACGGTCAACTATAAGAGTTGACTGCCACATAGACAAAAGTTAACGGAATTGGACGGAGAGTGACTAAAAATGAAACGAAAATGTAAAGTTGGTGACTATGAATAGAATTAAGTATTTCTAGTGACCAAACTTGAAACTTTATAATAATTTCAGTGACCAACCTTGCAATTTACCCTTTAATTTTATGGCTAAATTTAATTCGTTTGTTCACAGTTCTCCTTTATATACTCGTCGTCTGCCGGAGCGTCTTTACGTCTTCCCACTTTTGCATTCTTTCCTCCCTCAATTCCCCGCTAATCATAACCCCTCCAAAGCTTTTTATCCTGTATTGCGCCCTTTCTTTTTTAATTCTCGCTTTGTACCTGCGCTTCCCTCTCCAGGTATCTTGCTTCTTCTTCCTCTTCCAACTCCGCTCTTTTCCCCGAATCTCATCTCAATTTCTCATCTTTTGCTTGGGTTCTGTTGGTTTTTCTCGCAATCGATATCGGGGATGGGTTTTGAGTTACGCAGCTCTCTATGCCTTGTCGATGCTCCTTCTGTGGGTTTCGAATCAGAGCTTGGGGTTCTCGTTTTTTTTTTTTTTTTTTTTTTTTGTATTTCGTTTCTGCTTAGGGTTTCGGTGGTGGTTGTTGGATTTTCTGTAAATCGTGCCTGCCCTTATTATTAGTGTCTTGACCGAGTTCAGGAGCTATGCGATCTGTTGAGCTAAAAGTTTTCACCTTGGTCTGGAAGGGGGATCACTTCATTGGAGCTGGAGACTTTGCATTATTGTGATCATTTAGTTTGCGATTTGGGTTTTTGGCTGGTTGCGAGAGCTTTTGTGTATCTGTTGCTTTTGATCCAAGGATGAGCATCTGTCTGTCTATGGATATTGCTGGATATTGGGTGGTTGATTTGCTCATCATTTTGTTTTTCCTTTGATTTCCAGAAGCCATGATTCGCTTGTTCAAAGTTAAGGAACAGCAGAGGGAACAAGCTGAGAATGCCAATGGAGGCATACCTGTTAAAAAGCAAAGTGCTGGAGAACTTCGCCTTCACAAGGGTATATCTGATTGTGCTTTCCTGATTACGTGCTAATAACATTCAGTATAATGGTCTTGGTGTCATTGGTTGTGTTCTGTCCCATTAATGGTTTCGAATGGATATTATAATCATCCAAATCGTATAGATTGTGTAAGTGGCTTGGGGAAGAGCATTGCACTGGATTATTTAGTTGAGCTTAAACCAACATTGAGTGACTTGACGTGATCTGGTCAATTAGCTGATGACTGATCGGTTTAACCTTTGCCTAATGGCAATGAGCAAAGTGCCTTTTTGTACGTTAGGAACTCCTTGGTATATATAATTTTGTTCCTTTTTTTTTGCTGCATACTAGAAACTGGATTTTGGTTATTTAACCCTGCCTTGTGGCTTGTGATACAATGGTTATATGTAGCCTTTGCATCTATGTCTTGTGTTCAGACCTTTGAACTACAATTTCCATGTCTTGGAATGCTTCATATACCATGTCTTTGCACTATAATTTACCTACTTGACCTTTTGATCTTCTTCCCCTTTGCAGACATTTCTGAGTTGAACCTGCCAAAATCATGTGCCATAACATTCCCTAATGGCAAGGATGACCTGATGAGCTTTGAGGTCACAATTAAACCTGATGAAGGATATTATGCGTAAGGATTTCTTTAGCTAAAGCTCTTTAAGTAAAATAGATTTCTTTGTTATTGAGCATGTCGCATAAATAGGTACTAACGCAAGGCTTGATTCCTATTGCTTTTTGGGCTGCTATCACAGAGGTGGAACGTTTTTGTTCTCTTTTCAAGTTTCTCCTATCTATCCACATGAGGCACCAAAAGTGAAATGCAAGACTAAGGTAGCTAAGCCAATTCTCCTTTGCACCTCTCTTTTCTCAATGATGTGGTGCAAGTTCGAGTCTTTTGATAGGCTTTACTCTGGTTTGCAGGTATACCATCCGAACATCGACTTGGAGGGGAATGTTTGTCTCAACATCTTGCGAGAAGACTGGAAACCCGTTCTTAACATTAACACTATTATCTATGGGCTGTACCATTTATTCACGGTATTATTCACTTCTCTCCCCCTTCTCTGAACGTCACTTATGTTTTTGGATGTGTCGAAAGTCGTTTCTTACTCAAATGAACTGGAATCGAACCTGTACAGGAGCCAAACTACGAGGATCCCCTTAACCATGAAGCTGCTGCAGTGTTGAGGGATAACCCGAAGATGTTCGAGACAAATGTGAGGAGGGCTATGACTGGCGGTTATGTTGGCCAAACTTATTTCACGCGCTGTATGTGAGAGGCTGTGTCAGTCCCCTGTTTAATATCTCTGTTTTGCACAGCTGCAGCTCCTCAACATGCATTTGCCAGTGTCCCTAAATGTGACAATCTTGAATACCCCATGATGGTTGTAAAATTCTCTTCAAATTAACATTTTGTCTCTCTCCGTAGCATTCATTGCTATTTCGACTGCCACCTTCAGGTTTCCGTTTAACACCCTGCTTCTGTGATCTGTCCCTCCCGTTTTTATGACTCTGCTTCCACCTCAACTACCTCCGTTTGCATAACATTGATTTCCCACTACTACGTCCGTCTGCTCCTCTGTTACCCTGCTGCCGCCATTGAAGCTGCCTCTCCCATCTCTGCTCTCACTTTCCCCTTCCTCTTTCCTCCAAACCCTCAATTTTCTTCCGGGTCTTCTGCCGTTCCATGCCCTACGCCTTATGCAGCAGCTTAGCTAACTTCAATTCGGGAGCCTTTTTCTTCAACCATCTGTGGGGAAAGGAAAAAGAAACAGTGACAAGTGAAACAAAGAATGGGTACCACGAGCTCGAAGCAGGAGAAAATTGAAGCATTACGCCTGTGCAAAGAGCGGAAGAGGTTCATCAAGCAAGCAATTGATTCCAGGTACAATCTTGTCTCCGCCGCTTCGCCGAGGCCGAGGTACTCATCGAGTCCTCTCTTTCGACCGCCTCCGTCACCGAGCTCGACAATGACAAGTCTCCTTCACACTCATCCTACCCTTCACCTTCCCCTACTCACCATGCCGACGCTTCCGACTCGCCGTTGGATGCCGCCTTCTCCCCGCCGGTGATGCACGTCAGCTGCATGAAATCCGCAGGCGGCGGCGGCACTGCTGCTACTGCGGTCACGGTCAAAGTCAATAGCGTGCAGAATGCGAATAGGATTAGCGTTGATGGGTTCGACGAAGATGAGGGTTTGGGATTCTCCATGCCAATGCCGCCCTCGCCTCCACCGTTTAGTGGATCTTGGGACTACTTCGACACCAGTGATCATTCTGAGAGCTTTATGTTTCCGGCGCAGAATGAGTTGGGGTTTGACTTCCATGACACGAGAAAGTGGAATGGAAGGGTTTCGAGTGATGATCATGGTGTAATAGATGCTAAGGGGAAATTGGCACAGTCTGGTTTTCTAGATGGTAGTATCACTGCTCAAGCTCCCGCTAATGGTGAGAATGCAAGGCATGGAGTCGAGGGAAATGTTCCGAGGATCTCAGGTGCTAAAGAAAGCTATTCAATGAGGCTCAAGGGAGGTGAAGAAAGACAGGCAGATACAGTGAGGAAGGCTTGCAATGGGCCATCCGTTGAAATCTTAGTTGCAAAGGAGAAAGCAACTGTATTGAAAGGTTTATCAGCAGAAGAGAGAGAAGATCCTTCTGAGTTCATTACCCATAGAGCTAGGTGATTGGCTTTGTTTTTGAGGCATAGGTGTTAGTTAGGAACCTATTTTTGCTGGAATGTCCTCTAGAAACGTTCTAAAGGGAAATCTGAATGTACAGGAAAGTTTCTGCAATATTAGTTCTGGAAGCTTTCAATCTTGTTTGCTGCCAGGGAAGGACTGCACTTGTTTCTAATGGTAAATCCTTGTTTCCCTCTTCAGCTCTTCAGCCATAGGTAAGTGAACTCAGTAGTTAACCTTTTCTATGTGCCTCTGTCAGAACCTGGGGAAGATGCAACGAAGGTCATAACTTGGAAGAGAACAACTTCACCGAGGTCATCCTCGTCTCGAAACCCACTCACTAATGGGGCAAAAGATATGATGTCTCTGATAGTGGTAGCGAATTTATTGAGGAGTTCTGCATGATTTCAGGAAGCCATTCCTCCACCCTTGACCGACTCTATGCTTGGGAGTTGGGAGAGAAAACTCTATGATGAAGTTAAGGTACAACTCTCCCGCAAGTCCGTGCTCGATATCAGTTTTTTGTGGGGGATGCTATATGATTGTTCAGAAAGTAGACAGCTTTGAACTTCTCATTGAACTGGAACTGACTTTAATCAAATATTCACATTATTGCATTCTGCTCCAGGCCAGTGAATGTATTAGGAAAGAGTATGATCAAAAGTGTGATAAGCTAAGACACCAATTTGCGAAAGATCATAATGCTCATGTTATCGACAAGACTAGGGCGGTTGCGAAAAACTTACACTCACGGATAAGAGTTGCAATTCATTCTGTGGATTCCATATCAAAAAGAATCGAGAAGATTAGAGACGAAGAACTGCATCCTCAACTCCTTGAGCTAGTTCAAGGGTAACGTTAATAGCAAGCTTGATAATCCATTAGCATGCTAATTTGGTGCTTGTTGTTTACCAGATTTTGTGACAGTAAAAAATGTGCATGACAGGTTAATCCGAATGTGGAAGGCTATGCTGGCATGCCACCATGCACAGTACATTACCATTTCCTTAGCATGCCATTTGAGAAGTACTACAGCGACAGCGACAACACCACAAGGAGACACCCGACGGCAAGCCTTGTCCCAGTTACTGCAAGAGATCGAGTGTTTCGGATTGGGGTTTGCAAACTGGGTCAACAGTCATACATCATATGTCCAAGCTCTTAACGGGTGGCTGCTGCACTGCATCATGCAACAACCACAAGAGCGATCGAAGAACAGGAGGCCTTTTTCCCCACGCAGAGCTCTGGCCCCGCCTATTTTCGTTCTGTCGAGATTGGTCCGTCGGCATCAAATCCTTGCCATCTGAGGAACTCACAATGCGATAAAATCATTTTTGGCCGAGGTGGACCAGTTGATGCATCATCAGCAGACGGTAGTAAAGAATGATGGTGATGGAGCCCACCAAGAAACAGATTCCAAAGTTGATGGTGAGAAGAATAACGATGATGTTTCTGCAACCTTGAGTTGCATGCACGCCAGTCTAGCAAAGGTTCTAGATTGGCTAAACAAGTTCTCTGAAACTTCTCTGAAAATGTACGAGGATATTCGGCAAAAGAGTGAAGCTGCGCGAGTTGCATACTCGACTTGCAGAGCGGTTAGATTCTGAAGCTGTCGGTAATCACGATATGTTTAAGCAGGCAGCATTTTGATTTCGGTAGAGATCTTTAATGAAAATATTACTAATGTGAATGCCAAGTACTGGAATTTAAGTTATTGAGAGTTGAAATAGAGAAAGTCTAATTGAAAAGTAAACTATTATATGTTCTACAGTAACTTGTTTTCTCCTGCAGAGTGCAGTAAATGTCAATACTTCTTCTCTAACAAATTATACGATGGCAATGTTCAGAATAAACCGTAGAAGCCAATATAATGTGGTGTATTAGGTTGACTATAGTTCATACAATGGGTAAGATGCAAACCCTGTATATCTCTGAGCTCCCGCCAGTTTGGCAGTTCCTCGTTCCTCATGCTAATGAACTTTTGCTTCAATGCTGAATGGCTATATATATAATTCCAGACAATTCGAAAGACAGCACAACATAAGATATCTATAACTATCTGCTGCTTGAATTCCACTGTGAGCACTATACGTATTGATTTAGCTCAACGAAGGCAAAATTTCTAGAACCCGACATAATTGGTATACTGAGAATAAGCTTCTGACTGCATTGCAATTGGTGCTTTGGTAACATTATCTGGAAGATCAAATGCATCTACCAATTCCCTCGCAATATTCCTGACTTGGAAACTCAAGTACTCTGCCAGCTTGTGGATTGCCTGCACCGCAAGGAACACGAACGATACATGAGAAGTCTTCCTTTCGGATTTAGCAGGGCCTCAGCTTCGATAAGTGATTTCACAAATTCATGGATAAAAAGGAGATACCATGCAGAGTCTTGAAACTGAAACTGGAATTGAAATGGAAGAATCACCATCAAAATTTTCAATTACCTTAGCTTTGTTTGGTGCGACGTAGTCAACATTGCGGTAAGTTCCAATGTCATTCCATATTCTGTTCAAGGCGTAGAGATCGCAAACAAGTTTCAGAGCAGAACGTGCACTTGGATCCGGGCAGCTATTAGCACAGACAAAACAAGGTAGCAAACATTAGCAAAACAAGTATTAAGATGCATGAAGGATCATAACGAACTAGAAGGTCTGGTATAAGTAGTACTTCTGCACAGCTTCAATGAACTTTGCAAGGATGACGGTCTCAATATGAGATTCGGCCAGGGTGAGAAGGTGATTCAAGCAGCGGTTCCAAGCACCGAATCCTCCAAGTGTCTTCGTGTGCTTGCGAAGACGGACTGCAACGCTTTGGAGCAATCGAGATGTTCGGTACTAAAAAAGACGTACACAGATATTATTGTAAAATCTACTAAGATATGTATTAATAAAGTTTAAGCTGGTAAAAATTAATCATACTCACTCGGAAAGCATCCAACTGGAACTTAGGATCTCGCAAGTGATCTTCACTTTCCCAACGTGCTGTTACTGGGTTTGGCTGAGATAAGTATGAATTCATCGACTCTCTTAGATAGTTCCACGTCACTGTCAGTGGCCCGCCTTGGAACTTCTCCTGGTATCTCTTCAAGAGATCGCCTGCAACCTGCATTACAGGTTTTAGTAGAAGATAAAATGTGTTCCACTGAATATTTTTTCGCTTGCTATAGTGAATTGATAAACTACCTGCTGAAGAAGCACCGTGTTATCCCCTTCGAACGTCTGGAAAATATCATGATCATTTCTCAGAGTACCAAACCGATTCACAGCAGCATATCCATGGCCCCCACAAGATTCCCTGCACACATTCAGCGACCGAGCAGTATACGACGTCACATATGCTTTGAGGCCCGCCGACAGGGCATGGACATCTCCAACCAACTGTTCGTCGTGAGTTCGTTTCATCTCTGCATACTTCTCCACCAAATAGGAAGTAGCAAAATGGAAAGCATAAGTTGAAGCGAGCATGGGCATTAGCTTGTGCTGGTGAGACTGGTAGTCGAGGATGCTGACTTCAGGCTTTCTAGGTGGGCCAAACTGCTGACGTAGCAATGAATAGCGGATAGCGATTGTGCCAGCAAGCTTGAGGACGGCTACAGAGGAATACGCGAGCCCCACTCTTCCTCCCACGAGCTCGCCTAGCGTAGCAGCAAATCTTTTGTTTACAGTGGGAAGGGAACTCGAATACTTTCCATCTCGTGACACATCACCAAATCTGTTGAGTAGATTGTCGCGAGGGATCCTTACTGAGTTGAATCTCAATGCACCATTGTCTACCCCGTTGAGGCCAACCTTTTGGCCACAATCGTGTATCTCGATACCTGGAAGTGTTTCGTGTGTTTCTAGATGTCGAATGGGGACAATGAACGCATGAACACCCATGTCTGAAACTGCCTTGGAGTCATGAGTTGGCAGCATTAGTCGGGCGAAAACAGTGGCAAATTTCCCGTGAACTGCAGCATTACCAATCCACCATTTTATAGCCCCATCGTTTGGGGTGTTAATTATGAATTCGTCGGTTATTGGGTCGAATGTTGCAGCAGTTTGCAGTGCCTGCACATTTGAGCCTTTAGAGGGCGTACAAAGAGCAGGGCAATATGGTTAGACATGTGAATTCGCCATTTGTATGCATGGAGTTACAGAACATGCACACAACATCAGATCACTAATAGTGTAATGGGAAAAAACTAACCATGATGGAGCTCTGTCATAGCAAAGCAACCCGGATAGTACAGATTATCTATGCCATCAAAATATTTATCCTTATGCTTTTGAGTTCCGAGGTTGATCACAGAACCACCCCAAAGACTGCAGACAACATATGCAAGGAAAAAACCAGTTTAGACACAACATATTTGCATATAGAAGTAAAATTCTGTCAAGATCACCAGCAAATCTAAAAAATGACTTCTGAGAATTTAGGATTTCCTATAGCTTCAAGAGGTGGACCATGGTAAAGGGATATCATATCATTAATGATCTTCAGAGGTACAACTTTAATGTTCCAACAACCGCCCTTGCAAGTTGCAATGAATTGGGAAGCAGCTTCCCAAACGACATTACATTGATTCACAACTTCTTTGACTGAAAATGAGGTAACAGCGCCTTAATGCATGCTAAAACGTACAAAAGCTCAATACTTCTATCTGTCTGTCGAAATGAAATGAAATGAAATGCTGCATTAAATTTTCCAGCGTTTAACACAGTCGAACATAGTACACTAAGTCCACCAAACAGATTAAATTTCGTTTGTACCGGCAGTTACCTAATCAATTGACACCCGCCAAACTAATCAAGTCTCACCAGCAAAATGGAATTGTAACCAGTAACCACCCGTCCTGAACCAAAGACGTTTGTTACCATCTCCAAATAACAAGATTGAGGCACAAACTTGTTTGTGTTCAACTAGTTCTTGCTTTCCAATCAACTAAATGGGCAATAAATAATCCCATTCAAGTTGAACATTTGATGCAGCTATCAAGACTCAAAACTTGAGCAAAAACCCGGTTGTTGTTTAGGAAAATGAACAGACCCAGAAACAGGATTGACAAAATGGTCCGTAAAATCACCACTCGTGAAGAAGAATACGTAATCAGAGCTCGTTCAAGCTACATTTTCCTCTCTGAAAGCAACGAAACGAAAAGGAAATTTGCCAATTTGGGGAAAGGGGGAGAGATCACCTGTATTGGACACCCATCTTGATCCCAAGCGACATATCCACGCTACCCACAGCCTCGAGAATGGCGAAATACTTGGCGGGATCATCAGCCACATACCTAAAAGGCTTGATTCCAGCCTCCCTGACCAAACCCACAAGCTGCCGCCAGCAGAGCTCCCGGTGGTCGTTTTTGGAAATCTCCAGCGGCGTCTGTAGCTCCGGCCGGGACTCAAAGTACTCGAAAACCTTCTCCTGTACGTCTCTGTGGGGCCCTCTCATGTAGCCCGACAGCTTCCCGGTGTCCACCTCCAGCTTCGCCCTGGCGCAGGCCGCCATCCCGATTTGTCGGTCGGCGTCCGGCAGCGGGCAGGGGATTGGGTTCAGGTGCAGGGAAAGACGCTGGATTCGGCGGGAAACGATCTCGGCGTCGTCGCCGGAGGATGGATTGGGGTTGTTCCGGGTTTCCATTTTTGGGAGAGAGATTTTGATCGGAATTGGGGATGCAAGCAAAAAAAAAACAAAATGGAAGAGCGTGTCGTCGTTTGGAAGATTGAATTTCAAGAGTTTTGACGGGGAAGAAGACGTAGCTTCTCCTCCTCCCCGGGTTTATACGCTTACTGCGGGAGGTGGTGACGTGGCAGGGCGGTTGGGGCGGCCAAGTGGCGGAAACGGAATGGTGCGGATTTGGCAGTTAATTATGGCGCGCGATTCTATGTAAGTTGCTGGACCGGATATGTTCACAACTTCACATGGACCCTTTTTTTTTTTTTTTGGTAAAGTCAAAAGTGTAAGAGATCGAATGGGACAAATACTTGAATGTTCTGTAATCTGATCTCTACATTTTTTTTTTGTTTAACGTATTCGGTTTCCTTATGGATTAGATTGAGCGGGACAATACAACGAACAATCATTATCCAAGATCCATAGCCAACTTTCCAAGAATAGGTGTTAAACGGTGTGGTTATCGTGGTAATCGTTTTAATCGGTAATATTTGTTTAATTTGGTTTGGTTAATTTGAATAATTGGTTTGGTTAAAAAAATTAGCTTGTTTGGTTTAAGTGGTTTGGTTTGGTTTTAGACACTCCTAACCAAATTAACCAGTTAAGTAATTATCCGTATATCTAATATATATTATATACACATACTTAATACTTAGCATAACCACTCAAGCAGTGGCGTAGCCAGACTTTGTGTTCATTGGGGTCCTTAAAAATTTACTAATACTAATGGTTGGGTATCTAATGAACTTTGAGTTGATTGGGGTCCTTATGTGAGCTAAGATCGACGAGATTATGGGGTTATAGAACTTGAATAATCGTACACAACCCCATATATCTATATATTTTTGGCCAAGTGGGGTCCTAGGACCCCTCTCCTTGACACTTCCCTCCGCCACTGCACTCAAGAGGCCGAACATTCATTCTTTTTAGGCTCATCAACAATAAAGCTCAATATTGTTCATATACTGTATATTTGTATGTGTAGAGTGTAGACCATGATATATGAACACCCAATTTAAATAAAAACTCATACAATATATTAGATGAAAACTTGAAATGAAGGTCTTTTTCAACTTATGATAATTGCTAAGAGACTAAATGACTAATTCAATTAACACAATCACACCAATTAATTAACTCCATACTATTGGCATATATTTTTGCTAGGTGAATACTTCTATTGACTGTAAGATAGTTGTATTGGTTGCATATATTTCTTAAGGGTTAATCATAACTATGTATTCATTGTAATGTTTTATTCATCATATAAATTGAGAATTGATGCAGTGAAAAATTTCTCACTTGATGATAATGTGATGTCATATTAGTTAATCTAGTTAACCAATTAACCAAACCAATTAAAATATAGTTTGATTAATTTGGTTATTGTATTAGTTTGGACGGTTTGGTTATGATATTGTATTCCATGGTTAATAGAATTTTGAGTTGTTTGGTTTGGTAATTACCATGGTAACCATTCGAACACCTCTAATCACATAGCCAATTAGGTATTACCATCGCTCAAATGGGTGGTTGAATTGCAGTTTGATATTGAGTTATTTTTTTTTATAAAAAAATTAGATTATTATCAGGGTAATTGATGAAAATGGATTGTTAGATTTGTAGATCTCGTACTTGTGTGGATGGTGAGCGAGTTGTGGATCACATAAATGACCTGTGCGTTACTTTCATATGTCAAAAAGTTATCTTTTGTGATACTATCAAAGATTCTTAACTTCTACTATCACAATTCACAATTCACAACAATGATCATCAACTTGTAAAGCGGGGAAAGAGACTACTACCATTGTTTTTACTATCTTATATAATGTGAAATAGGTATTGAGATGTAAATTACAATCCATCAGTAGTATCAAACTGGCAACAATCATCAATTTTCTCTGCAACTGATTGATAAAGTGATTAAATAAGTTATGTTTTTGTCAAAGAAGTGAATCTACATACATACGTGAAAAGTTTTTCCTATAAGGATATTGTTGTTAATGATTTTCTTTGATATGTTGGTGAATGGTCAATATGAAGTGGTCAAAAAGAAAGTTGACATGATTAATAGAATACTTTTCACGTTACAAACATTGACGAATACGCTACGAGAAAGTTATATATAAAATATGTACGGATATTTTAATTCCTTTATAAACTAATGTTATGTTTAGTATTACGTTAATAGAAATAAATAAATATAATTAATTATTTAAAAAATATATAAATAATATTAAAGTTAACAATTTTATTAAATATATATATTAAACATGTTATACGTGTTTTGTATGTATTTAGTACGGGACCCATAAAATGAACGGGTAAAAATGAAACGGTTTGACAATAAATTATTTGCAAAATATATATATATATATATAGTGTAAATTTTAATCAGCTCTTACTCTCCTAATGACCAATTGATAAATTATTTGCAGGATAATCCTCAACCTTACTGCACTCACACACCACCCGTCTGACCCAACCAAAAATAAAATTTGGGTGGGTGGGAGGCATAGTTAGTAAATACTCGTTTTAATACACGTATATATGGACATATGTATTTTATCCATTTAAAATTTCTGTATTTGTATTATTGTGTAGTCATTTCATTTTTTCCATTCTTGTGATGGCTCCCGTGATAAACACTTACAAAATCCGAATAACACATTTAATATAGAGGTGGATTTTCGGTTAGTTCGGTTATAACCGATAACCGAAATGTCGGTTACCGGTTAACCGCGACAGCATCATTGCCTACCGACAACCGCCTGACGGAAGCCATCGGTTAGCCGGCAACCGACCGGTCGGTTACCGGTTAGTTTCTCGGTTAACCGCAGTAACCGCAAGACACAATGCACACCGAAAATCCATCTTCTTCCTCTTCCTCGGCGTCGCGGCAATCCTCCTCCTCCTCGCCACCGCCGCCCTCCACCGCCATTACAATCCGGCCAACAACAACAACAATCCCTCTTCAGCCGCCACTGGCGACGGGATCTCGTTTCGCGACCTGAAGCAGAGGCTTCCCCAATTCAGGTTCTCGAGGAGGATGCAGAAAGGCGGCGAGGTGGATGAATGCGTGGTGTGTTTGGATTCGATCAAGCAGGGGGAATGGTGCAGGAAGCTTCCCGTGTGTGGGCACGTGTTCCATCGGCGGTGCGTGGATCCATGGCTGGTAAAGGTGCCGGCTTGCCCGATTTGCCGGGATAGGAGGGAGAAGTAGAATTCGAAGGTGAACGGGGTGGATTTCGATAGCGACGAGGATAATGGGAACGGGAACGGGAACGGCGAGGAGGGAGAAGAGGATCCGTTTGATTGGGAGAAGGAGATGAGGAAGAGAGTGAAGGAAATCGAAGAGATGATGGAGTTGGAGAAGAAGGCGGAGGAGTTGCAGAGCAAGGCGGAAGAAGAGATCAGTGAGAATGGTGAGGAAGGGAGAGAAGAGACGGAGGATTATACGGGTTAGGCGGCGTCGATTAGGGTTAGGCGGCGTCAGGGATTAGGATTCATCGGATTAGGGTTAGGATTCGTCGGATTTAGAAAAGAGGAAGTGGGGGTGGGGCGGCGTCCTTTTACGGAATAAGGGAAGGGGTTAGTTGCTCGGTTAGCCGGTTAACCGGCGGTTATTGTGGAGCACAAAGTTATGGTCGTTCTAAGTTTGACGAAATCGAAAAAAGGCTCATTCGAGGTAGCAAACGACGTTTTTTCGGGACGAAGGCGGGACCAAACCGCCTCCGGCGGTTTGCGGCTTGCAAGATCTCGAAAAATTATGCGGAATCAAAAAAAATTTCACCACGATCGGATAACCGAGCACAAAGTTACGTTTTTTTTAAAGATTCGACGCAGGTCAGGCCTTCACCGCGACCGTTGAATGCGGTGAAGCTATCACCGTTTTTGTCTACAGCGGTGATGCAATCACCGTTTTTCTCTAACGCAGTGATGCAATCACCGCTCTTCTTTAACGCGGTGAAGCAATCACCGCCTTAGTCTGACGCGGTGAAGGCCCAAACATGTAGATTGGGAATTTTTTTCATAACATGTGTATTTTGAGAATTTTTTTTTAAAAACATGTGTACAGTGGGATTTTTTCCACATATTAGTAGTGACCAGTGAGATCCATTTTTATAGATTGAATTTTCAAAATAGTTCTTACCCCGATTAACTAAGACGATTAATACAATTACATATTATCGAGTGTTAACGAAAAACAATATAGTCATCCAGTTCAGTCCAATTACAACTTTGATCCTCCACAATGACATTCAATTAAGCGAATTCAAAACATTATAGATAACAACGATGTGTTCAAATTACATTCAAATATATTGTACTCAATAACCCAACCAATCGGCCTCTAAAAGATATGTAGTAGGCAACATCATATATTTCTTTTTGAAAACATCACTAAATAGTTAAATTTGGTATTCATACATCCTCCTTACATTGTAGTTAACTTAGTATCTAAGGCTTGTCTCATTAAGATCAACACTCAGATGATAAACTAATTAAAGGAAGAGTACTCTATATAGATATACTAGGTGGCGATGCCGCGCCTTGTCGCAGGCGGAGATGACCTATGGGCATGTATTGTGTAGCCCGTTTGGTGTTTTGTTAGTATTATTAGCCTAAAATCAATTTTTTGTTAGCAATTTTGTTCGTAAATTGACTGAGAAGAGATATATAGTGGTCAACATCTAATTAAATTTTTGTTAGAAAATTTTGGCTAGTAAATGATATTTACCTAAACCCAAGTAGACCTATTGATCATGGGTAGAGTATGGGTGACATAGATATGGGGTTGGAAGTTTGTAGATGGGTTTGGGTAGGATATGAATATTTATTTCTATAATCTAAATATGTATGAGTTGGCTATGGATAACCATCTATTCGGGGTATTTTAATTACACGTAAAAAAATTATACCTATTTGTAGAAATTCAAAAGTTTAGGTACCAAAATGTAATAGACAAAAGATTTAGGTGCTCAATTTTGGAGTTGGGATTATTACCCCCAAACATTCAATGTATAATTGTTGAAAATTCTAGTCCCGGTGAAAAAGAAAAACTTTAGAGACAAGCAAAAGGAATAAAAATTGGAACTCGCTTAGAATTTCATGCCTTCAAATCCCATAGTGGAAAATGACAAATTTCTAATAAGTAATAACCATATATATTTATTTTTTATTGGACTCGACATTGAGATGAAAAAAAGTTAGTGGTTCATGGTTCAATTATTAGTGCCCTAGATTGTTGGTGAGTCGTGTATGGACCCGTTAATTCATACTTGTGATTGGAATACATAAAAATAGTATCCTAATTAGGGTTAGACGAAGAAGGCAAAGAAAGAAATAAAGAAAGGGTTATGGAAGGTGAGTGAAAAAATGAAACGAAGAGGAAGTAGATGATGGAAATGTTTTGTCCGATTCTTTTAGTTGGTCGTCAATACAACATTCAACTCTTTTCACCGTAGCAATTTATTGACACTTGCTTATGTAGATGTCGCATATTTTGTTACAGGTAGTTAGTAGAAGTTTGTTTAGTACCCCATAAATGTACTAAATGAGATACCAAAACATATTTTTTCAATGATTTTACAATAAAATCAAATTTGGGGTATCAAAATGTAAAATCTACATTATAGTGACTAAGTTGTGATTTAATTAAATTTGGGGTAGTTAGTAGAAGTTTGTTTAGTATCACATAAATGTATTAAATGAGATACCGAAACATAATTATTCAATGATTTTACCTTAAAATTAAATTTGGGTATCAAAATGTGAATTTTTTAGAAACAGTAACCAAACTTCTGCTTTATATATAATAATATTATTAACGTAACAATGCATTTCATGATAGCAATTGTTGTTGGAGTGGGTACACGGACAAGTTTAATAGAAAAAAAGACAAGTATAATAGATTATCCTCACTCCTTTCAAATTTCAATCATGAACGATATCTACGCTATGGCACCGTGCATTTTTATTTTTTGTATTATCAAATCTGTAAATACTTTATTAATCAGACAACATTGTCCAACTAGATCTGATCAACAAGAATCATAGGTGGCCTATCATACCAAACTTCCCTCTCATTTCCATCTGGTCTCTGTATGAGCTATAATGTGAGCTTCCATGTTTCCGCCGCATTATATATTACAAAAGATTTTTACGTGGTTTACCAATTTACCGCTACACGACATTGCAAAAATAATATATACACTAATTTAGAAAATTCTTATTTTGTCTTGCTACTCTCCTTTCCCCTCCTGCTACTGGTTCGACAACCATAATTAAGTTGCACGGCTAAACTGGCCAAATAAAACGAATCTGGATCAGGTGACCTAGACTGGTGGATATGGCTGTGATATCACACCTTATTTAAGCCGTGCTAGGCTGCTACGCCTTCAAGTCACCGCACATTTTCGAAGAGAAGTTTAGCATAACATAACGACTAACGAGAATGTTGAGAGAGGAAAGGTAATACATAAAACATAAGCTAGTGAGCATATCCAACTTGTTTTTTCCAGCTTAGATCAAAATCTCAGTGCTTCTGTTTTCCAGAGTTCAACTGACACTAACGAACTCTATCTGAGCATTTGATTCTAGTACAGCTGAGCAGTCTTGACGACGAAAATCTTTAGATGCATGTAATTTTACTAAACAACAGAACTGACTTCTACTGTAACTCTAACTTCCTTGTAAATAACAGAGTCGAGAAGGGTGCTGGAGAAGGCGGCAGATTGTTGTCTGTCAAGGTCCAAGAATGGCCGGGAAGAAAGCATCCTAGTGCAAGGCTCGGCTCTAATCAGGCTCACTTGTTGTATAGGTAGACGACGCTGAAGATAAAGAACCCAGCCATCTGCAATCAACAAGTAGAAAGAACAATTAGAAAGACACCACGAAACCGTGTGTTTTTTTACTAACGACGAACAAAAGAACACATAAAATGGGAATTTCTGTGAGGAATCTGGTTTTACCGTAGTAAAGGAAGCTCCATAATATGGGAAGGCAGTTGTTATGAACCTTTCATACTCATTGTGTCTAAAGGGGCGCACCGGAATCTGCAGTTACAATTTCCAACCATTTCAGCTCTTTACATAATCATGCTCAAATAATTTTAACATTTAACCTTTTACGTTTCAAGACAACTCAAAACTCCAATCATTCATATTTTAAGTAAATTAAGAAGTACCAAAAACGGTTTAAGGATGCAAGGGCAAAGAGAGGAGCTGATAGAACAAAGAGTTCACCTGTTTAGAAAGTGACAGACTAGTGTACCCAAGCTTCTGGTATTCAACCTTGAATTGGAAGACTCCATATACATCAGGCACCTTGAACGATGTATGGTAAAGACCCTGTTCAATCAGAAGTAGATAAATAAGCTCGCAATGGCACGAGGGTGGTTAACAAGTATGAAAGCAAGGGTGTGAAGGGAAAGATTTACCTTCTTGTCTGTTGATAGAGTTTTCAATACATATGGGCTCATCATATAAAACTGAACCTGAACATCATCAGCCACATATGGCTCCCAGCTGTTCCCAGACCACTCGTATATGTCCACATAAAATTCCTTCAAACACATACAACATTTACACTGACAACTCAATATTTGTTTAACAACTTCTCAAATGTATATTCCAAAATAGATAGCGAGTAGCAAGCACTCACAAGGTCATCCTTGATCCTATACATGGCAGGTTCGTTGGTCTCCCCGACTTTTACATGCCTGAGGTTTCCAGCCTGGCAGAGTATTTAACATGAAAAAGAGTAAGCTAAGACTACTAATGCGGCGGAAGGAAAAAGTGGGGAGTGTTGTGGGAGTGGAAAGAAAAGATTCGGTTGTGAATGAACAAGATATTGAGGAATTGCCCCTATGTAAAATAATAATTCGGCACACCAAGAATTATGACTCACCTTCAAGTGACCTCTTTCATGGAAAAGCCATTTGCTAAGTTCAATTACAAACTGCTCATTGCCAGACTTCTCATATCTATTATCAAAACATAAGTATCAGTACCAAATTGTTATTGAGAAATGAGAACCACTAAGGAGGTTGTCAATACAAACATTGGAAACAACCACGTGCACTTTGTAAATACACATATTCACAGGTTTTGCTAGCATCCAATTACATGTTGTGTACGGGATGGACTCCACAATAGATTAGTGACATTATGGACCGAGCTAGAACACCCATAAAAGCAGGCCCAACAAACATACAATCACCGTCCGTGTGAGTCTGCCAAACCACCTCACACCCAAACAAGAAGTAGATTTGTGTTTCTAAGAGTAGGGAAAGGAAAGTTCTCATAAGATTCCGCCAAGAGCTTAGGGACTTATTTCAAACATATTTGTAACTGACAAACACACAGGACATGTGTGCATAATCATATATCTATTAAGTCCATGAAACCGTACCGGAGACCGTATCGGGAAAGTCAGCGGTAGGGTATATTATGGTAAAACCGTGGTTTAACCGTAGTTCAACCGTTATACCGGTAAATGCCGCATATTGGTTTAGCCTCCGATACTGGTATTTCGTGGTTGAACCGCCGGTACGGTATGGTTTAATGGACACTGACTATTAACTAATAGGAAAATAGTAAATAAGGTTGCTCTGACTTCAACGGATTAAATGGAGGATGCTATAGCCCATAAATGTGCAAGGAGTTCTGGTCGAGTTATTCACATTCATAAGCAGCATTACAAGCTTGCAAGAAGTGAAAAGGGGAAAGAGATAAATCAAAGCTCGTTCACTTACTTTGAATGGCTCCCAGCTTTCTGCACACTTGATTTCATATACCTGATTTAAAGAAGGTAAAGTCAGACAACCTTAATAAAAGCCAAATATTTGGACCCAGTAGAAAAGAGAAACAAGCCTACCGATTGCTAAACAAATCCAAAGAGCCAGAGATCATAATACGTGCATTGTTCCTTGCCTGCATCATATAATAGTAATAGATCATTCTTTTTCTGTAACTTGCCTATAGCACAGAAGCAAGATAAACTTAGACCTAGATCACATATGGGGAAAGTCAAGTAGCCTGGTTACCTGCACAACTGAAACCAACGAGATTGCAGATCCAGTCAGTGAAGGGGGACTTGACAGCTTGGCAGTTGGATGAGCTGAATATGTTGATGGAGAAGCAGATAGGACTTTCAATGCCTAGAAATATAGGGGAACAAAACACATAATTTGTTACCATTTGTTCCAGACATAGTATATGCTATACAAACTGAATTTCGTGCTTACCAGAGTGTTTGCAGCATTCAAGGAATGTGCAATACCCTTGAAAAGCACTGGAGCCTGCTCAATCCAAAACCATTACAGAATTCATTAGTTCGGCAATGGAACTTTGGACCCAATGACATAACCCCTACAAGAGCTTGTACCCTAAAGCAATATCGTAACATCACAAACGAGGGTCCGAATGAACAACCTCAATCTTAGTCTTCCCGAGGATCACATCCGAGTTAATCAATTCATCAGCAGCAATCAGTGTATGGTCACCATCAACATCAGACACCGCATAGTTTTGGTGATCAATAACCATAGCTGATGGCTCCTACAACACACGATTAAACAAAACTTTTACAAAGCCCATGAAATGGACGAGCAAATAGCTTCATTTGCATCAAGTTACGCTAATAAATTATAGAACTTTAATACAATTCCCACAACCAACCTCATCGAAATCGACTCCGCACTCCGTAGCGACGCTCTTGATCAAATCAGAAGCGGTAGTATCAGCTGCTACGATCAAATCATGACCGGAGTCAACGAAGTCAAGCACAGCTGCAACGTCCAATGCACCTCCAAACCCTACATATGCACCAAATCGAAGCGCACGAAATGCGAGCCCGACGAATTAGAAAAAAAGCAAAAAGGCAAAAACTTTGACGAGAAATTCCACAAAACACCGGAGGCTTACTCTCGACTGAGGGGGCGAATAAGACCAAGCCGTCGTACAAGTACTGGCCGTATCTCTGGAGGGCGAGCTTGGGATCATCGGCGAGCTTGAAATCGAGATCGAAGCCACGGGACTTGAGGGAAGTGAAGAAGATGGAGTGAGAGGATTTGAGGGAGAAATCGTCGAGCAATACCAAGATCCGGCGGTCGGTCGGGGTGTCCGGCGAGAAGGAGTGGGAGAGGAAGGGGAGAAATGAGAGTGTCAGAGCGAAGAAGATCGCGAGTTTCGCCATTGGAGCGGATCTCGTCAGTAGAGAGGGTTTTTGGGGCGGACCAAGAATTTGTGAAGCCTCAGAAACCCCCACAGGTGAAGACAACGCCTAGACGGCTTCGTTGGTGGAGTTTCGTGTCTGAGCTGCCGGATTGGTTAGTTGCTGCTCAATACGTTTCGACTTTCGACCAGTAAGTAAGGCTTGTTTGGACTCTTTCTTTCGCTTCATAATTGACCAAAATGGTCACATCGTCTATACAGATAAACAAAATGATCACAAACTTTTAAAAAATCAGAAAATGGACATATGAATATCGTAGTATAACAAAACAATATTGTCGTTCATTTTCATCAATCATTCAAATGAGAGATGGCAAAATTAACTGTATCCGGGGATATTCCCTCAAATTCAGCCTCGATCAGCGGTTAAATTTGAACTCAAAGGGTTTTTAATGAGTAGGGATAAAACTTGAATTCAAATATTACGAGTAATGGGCGGGCATGACTATATGAGTATGGGTCAACTCTAAAGTATTTTGGATAGAGTAATAGATATGCATTATCCGCCTCTGATCTGTTGCCATAATATGTTTGTTTTTTTCATAGATATTTTCAGAGAAAAAATAGCTAGATACAAACTGAAATTCTTTTCAAGCAAACTATATAATACAAAAGAAAATAACTACGATCAACCATAAGTTGAACCATCAACAAGAGAACGTTTTTTATGTCATGATATGGACAACTTTTAATAGCTTTCGACATGAGCAGAATTCATGATATAGTTTTCACCATTTGCATGGCGAAAGTCATGAACCAATCCTTTGTTGTAAGATGAACGTGTTGCAGTGAAGAGTGAACCCCTGCAATTTGAAAGACAACATAGCATCCCATTCCCATCTATGGAGTATAACCAAACACATTGTCCCGTACATTTCTTTCTTTGAACCATACCACAGGCTATTAGCAACTTGCATTTTAATATTAAACCAAATATAGATACCAAAAATAAATCGAAGACATATTGTATTCCATTCTTGCGTAAGAAAAAAGCATAAAAGGAAAAACTAATGAACATGATCGAAGTGAAAAACATTATAGATTCACGTTCCAATCAGGAGAGATAAAATGTTATGTACATGACAGAGTAGATTAGTTTGCCTCATATCATAAGCCTGTAAATGTAATGTGGTAGTGGCAGCATATGATCTTTCTTCATCTCCGCTTGAAGAACGGATTAGTCAGCAAGCAGCCATTGGTATTTGGCTTGTCCTTTTCCTTCTTCGGTTCAGAAACCCGAATTTTGTTATGATTTAATTTTATGGCTAAATTTAATTTGTTTGTTCACAGTTCTCCTTTATATACTCGTCTGCCGGAGCGTCTTTACGTCTTCTGCATCCTTTCCTCCCTCAATTCCCCGCTAATCATAACCCCTCCAAAGCTTTTTTCCTGTACTGCGCCCTTTCTTTTTTAATTCTCGCTTTGTACCTGCGCTTCCCTCTCCAGGTATCTTGCTTCTTCTTCCTCTTCCTCCAACTCCGCTATTTTCCCCGAATCGCATCTCAATTTCTCATCTTTTGCTTGGGTTCTGTTGGGTTTTCTCGCAATCGATATCGGGGATGGGTTTTGAGTTACGCATCTCTCTATGCCTTGTCGATGCTCCTTCTGTGACTGTGGATTTCGAATCAGAGCTTTGGGTTCTCGTTTTTTTGGGTTTCGTTTCTGCTTAGGGTTTCGGTGGTGGTTGTTGGATTTTCTGTAAATCGTGCCTGCCCTTATTATTAGTGTCGTGACCGAGTTCAGGAGCTATGCGATCTGTTGAGCTAAAAGCTTGCACCTTGGTCTGGAAGGGGGATCACTTCATTGGAGCTGGAGACTTTGCATTCTTGTGATCATTTAGTTTGCGATTTGGGCTTTTGGCTGGTTGTCGAGAGCTTTTGTTTAGCTGCTGCTTTTGATCCATGGATGAGCATCTGTCTGTCTATGGATATTGCTGGATATTGGGTGGTTGATTTGCTCATCATTTTGTTTTTCCTTTGATTTCCAGAAACCATGATTCGCTTGTTCAAAGTTAAGGAACAGCAGAGGGAACAAGCTGAGAATGCCAATGGAGGCATACCTGTTAAAAAGCAAAGTGCTGGAGAACTTCGCCTTCACAAGGGTATATCTGCTTGTGCTTTCCTGATTACGTGCTAATAACATTCAGTATAATGGTCTTGGTGTCGACGGTTGTGTCTGATCCCATTAATGGTTTTGAATGGATATTATAATGATCCCATTCGGATTACATTGTGTAAATGGTTTGGGGAAGAGCATGGCACTGGATTATTTAGTTAGTTCAGCTTAAACCAACATGAGTGAACTTGAGGTGATCTGGTCAATAAGCTGATGACTGCTCGGTGTAACTTTTGCCTAATGGCGATGAGCAAAGTGACTCTTTGTATGTTAGGAAACTCATTGGTATGTAGAATTAGGTTCCTTTTTGTTTTTCTGCTGGATGCTAGAAACTGGATTTTGGTTAAACAAGCCTTGTGGCTTGTGATACAATGTTTATATGTAGCCTTTGCATCTATGTCTTGTGATCAGACCTTTGAACTACAATTTCCATGTCTTGGAATGCTTCATATAGTTTGTTACGTGCACCACGACCACTAAATAAATGATATCATGTAATATTATAATTTACCTACTTGACCTTTTGATCTTCTTCCCCTTTGCAGACATTTCTGAGTTGAACCTACCAAAGTCATGTGCCATAACATTCCCTAATGGCAAGGATGACCTGATGAGCTTTGAGGTCACAATTAAACCTGATGAAGGATATTATGCGTAAGGATTTCTTTAGCTAAAGCTCTTTAAGTAAAAAAGATTTCTTTGCTCTGAATGTTTTGCAGAAATACGTACTAACACAAAGCTTGATTCCTATTGCTTTTTGTGCTGCTATCGCAGAGGTGGGACGTTTTTGTTCTCTTTTCAAGTTTCTCCTATCTATCCTCATGAGGCACCAAAAGTGAAATGCAAGACCAAGGTAGCTAGGCCAATTCTCCTTTGCACCTTTTTTTCTCTTAATGATGTCGTGCAAGTTCGAGTCATTTGATAGACTTTACTCTGGTTTGCAGGTATACCATCCAAACATCGACTTGGAGGGGAATGTTTGTCTCAACATCCTGCGAGAAGACTGGAAACCTGTTCTTAACATTAACACTATTATCTATGGGCTGTACCATTTATTCACGGTATTATTCACTGCTCTCTCCCCCTTCTCTGAACGTCACTTTTGTTTTGGTTGTGTCGAAAGTCGTTTCTTACTCAAATGAACTGGAATCGAACCTGTGCAGGAGCCAAACTACGAGGATCCCCTTAATCACGAAGCTGCTGCAGTGTTGAGGGATAACCCGAAGATGTTCGAGACAAATGTGAGGAGGGCTATGACCGGTGGTTACGTTGGCCAAACATATTTCACGCGCTGTATGTGAGGCTGGGTCAGTCCCCTGTTTAATATCTCTGTTTTGCACAGCTGCAGCTCCTCTCCCATACATTTGCCAGTGTCCCTAAATGTGACAATCTTGAATACCCCATGATGGTTGTAAAATTCTCTTCAAATTAACATTTGTCACTCTGCTTTTGCAACGGGTTGAGATTGGGCGCAGCATTGTTAGTTCCTTCAATCCCAGCCATTGTATGTTTGGAGTTTGGACGCGTCATTATCAAGTTAAATGCGCATCAACTTAATTTGGGCAAATTCTCGTCCTCTTGTTTGGCCTCATATAGAGGATTCTACTTTACTGTTATTTCTGTCGACTTCTGAATTCAACGAGATAAACTAAGCATAAAGTTGAGAGGCTTTCGCTTAGATGATTCTAACAGAATAACTAATGTACAAATAATCTCAGTCGAGTAACCTCTCATACAGGCGTTGAGCATTGTGGCTGATTGTAAGTTGTAACGACTGTCCGTATAGTTTGTTGCTGGTCATCGTCAGTTCGGCCTTCATATGTGGTCTTATTCGAGCATTAATCGAGCATGTTGATGTAAACCTACGCGGACACGAGCTTGATAAGTTTGAGACGTTGGGATATGTCAATACCATCAAATCTGATAAACCATTATCGGCCATTCCGAACACTAGAATGGTCGGAGAAAGCATAGGAACCAAATTTGATTGTCAAATTTCGTCAGTGAAAATGCCGCGGAATAGATAAAACTTACAATAGTATTTACAAAGAAGATCTACGGCTTATCACTCATTTGGATGTCTTTGGCACTGGCCAATTTAGCATTCTCTCTATCCTGCTTAAAGAACCAGTACAATGGAGTGTAAGACAAGCAACACAACCCAAAAGGAACAGCCATCATAGAAAGCAGCCCCTTGGACAGAGCAGCGGCCTCTCTTATCGACCCTTTTATGGGATCAATGCCCTTCACGTCATATCCGAACGTCTTCTCCGACAGTATTCCGACCAAGGGAGCAGCAAAAGACGAGAAGGAAACCTCGAACGCACGATCAAAGGCATAGATCATGGTCCTGTGCTTTGTGGGGACAACTTCAGCGAACATCGGGCCATTGGCAGCCGTCGCACACCAGCTGATTGTTAGGCCCATCAGGAAAAGGGTGACGGCGAAGGTGGAGTAGCTGTCCACCGACTGAGGAATGACTTTGAGGAGAAACCATGAGAACGGTATCCCCATGAAGGCACTGAACTGGGCGCACATGATCCGACCTCCTTGCGGGTAAAGGCGAGACATCCGGTCAGCGACTAGACCGCCGACCAGGCTCCCTGACGCACATCCAAAGGCAAATAGGCTTAGGAGGGCTGCTGTTTTGTTATGATCAAAACCTGCAATCCACACAAATACATCATTCTCCATCAGTGTTTTAGCTTTTGCTTAAAAGGATACGTTTTTTTATTTCAGAATTCTCACCGATGAGTTCGAACCACAACGTGAAGAACACCATGGCGGTCCATGGCAGAGAGCCAACAACTCCCTGCAACACTATGACCTGAAATGTCTTCACTTTCAGAACAGCTAATATGGATCTCCATGACTCTAGCCATACAGATGCTACTGCACTGGTATGGCTCTTTTCTATCAGCTCATCCCTGCAAAACAAAACAAGCAACTGAATATACAAACATTGGCACTACGAATCAGATTCTTTTTTCCCCCATGTATTAGTTTGTACCATTAACCTGTACCTGCCAGAACTCTCACTGCTGTTGCGAGCACCAGCAGCAGAAGCCATTCCTTTCCTTGGATCGATAACAAACATGAAAACAAGTAAACCAATCACCGAACTCAACGTCGCCATCATCATAAACGCGAATCTCCAACCTGGCACGCCCCAAAACTCCTGGCCGGCCATGATCGTGGCCATGACACCACCTCCAATTCCACCCAAGCTCCCAATAAGGCTCACCAATCCGAACCCGGTGCCCCTCACTGCATCCCCGTAGCTATCAGCAATGAAAGACTGCAGCGCTGGAATGACAATCGCCAAACCAAACCCATTAATTGCCCTCCAAAACGCTACCTGCACGAAATAGCGGCTAGCTCCAACTGCAGCGGTGGATAGCGCCCAGCAGAAAGTCCCTATTGCGAGGATCGTGGGGCGGTCGTAGTTTATGACTAGAATCCCCGCTAAGGGTGAAGCGAGTCCCTGGACGAAGTTCCTTATGAAAGTAAGGTACCCTAAATCTGATGGGCCGGCGTTGAAGGCTTCACTGACTTCTTTGTAGACGGACGGGAGGAGATTCTCGTCCGCCTTCTCCATTATTGAAGCCATGTTGATGAGAATGAGGGAAAGGGAAATGCCGAGAATCTTTCTTTCTCTGCTGGCAAGTTAACAAACAGTTGGAGTGCAAGAGGATCAGTGTCAAAACTTTCGACAACCATTTCGAAGTACAGTCTCCAATCATTAAATCCACCAAACAAATCGAAACCCAGAAGAGATCCATCCGTCTTAAAAGTTAATAGTCAAAACCCGCCTTCGATTGAGAAGCGGAGCTAATAAAGGATCGAACTTTAAACAACAGAGAGATGGATCTAATAGACTCGTGGGTAATCAATACGGAACAAAAAGGGATGAGTTTTCCCACCAAAGCCAATCGACGTTCATGCTGACATATCGTTCAATACAATACAATACAAACAACGTTGTGCGAATCCAAAGCTATTAAGAACAGGGAAGATTCAAATTGGGCGAAGCAGAGGCAGGGGCACTTACTTCATGGCTGCAGAAGTTATGGAAGACCGACGTTTGAATCGAGGAATGGCAGCAGCAGCACGGAAGCTATTCTGGGTCGTCCGGAAAATGCCCATAAACGATTAAAATAGCTCGAGGAAGGAGCAGAGAGCAACAATGGCGGATCCAATGGCTCCCTTATTCTCCTTGTTGGAAGGTCTCGGACACATCGGAGACTAAAACGAGGGGCCCGATATATGAGCTGAGAAAGAGAGGCAAGTGGGTTGTGTTTTTGTTTTTTGGGAGACGATGGAGAGTGAGAGGTTTGCCGGGCCAAGACGGAAGGAAAGTTAGAAGAGTTTGAAACTCTCTTATCGCCCTGTTTAGCCAAGAAGAAGGGAACAAGCGGGAATGCCATGTGATGGGTTGAAAATGAATCTGGCGATTCAGAAGGGCGAGCCGGTCAACGAGAGGAAAAGATTTGAGATTTGAGATGAATCATTGATCATCGTCGGCGGGCACGAGGTCGTAGAAACGTGGGCGGGTGGATTGATGACGGTGTCGCTTGCCGATTCACTAGATTTGGACCCGTGCAATTGGGCCGGGTGTTGGGTCTTGGGATTTTTTTAGAAATAGCACATTTAAAAAAATAATTATAAAAATAGCATCCAGCTAAAAATATTTACAAAAATAGCATCTTTTTTATGTACCGCACCTCCATGGTGCGTTTTATATGTAAACCGCACCTGGAGGGTGCGTTTTACATATAAACCGCATCTCTAAGGTGCGGTTTATTATCCTGGGCCAAAACCGCATCTTGGCCAAGCGGTTTCAGGTCTGACCTACAAAAACCGCTTGGCCGAGGTGCGGTTTTGGCTGGCCTAGCAAAACTGCACCTTGGAGATGCGGTTTGTTTCTCCAAAACAAAACCGCATCCCCAAGGTGCGGTTTTGCCACACAAACCGCACCCCCAAGTGCAGTTTGTGTGTCAATTGTTTTCCGACACCAGACAAGCAGCCATGAAGATTCACAGACATGGGGCTGCATGGCAGATGAAAAACGCAACTCTAAGGTGCGGTTTCATTGATGATTTTGCCTATAAAAGGCAGCCGGGGAATCTTCTTCTCTTCACACCTCTCCTTCTCCCTTTTCAATTTTCTATTGTAGCTCCATATTTCTCTAATGTTTTTGCGGTTAACGTTAACTCGCAAGTTTTTTTTGTATTACTTTTTATTGTGATTTGTGATTTTTATGATATTAGTTGAACTATTGTTTTTTTTTTTTTTTTGCAGATGCCATTCCAAAAGTTCACGCTTGGGTTACGGTGGAATGGTTACACGGAAGAGAGCGGAAAGGGGGTCACCTACGTTGGTGGCAATTTTCAGAAAATAAAGGTCGCTACCAGACCGATGCTTGAAGACCTCTATCTAATGTGTACTAACGTTACTTGCATGGATGGCACGAGAAGAGTTGATCGTATGGTGTACCGATATCCAAACAGAGAAGGCGGATCGTTGTGGCACGAGGAATATCTCATAACCACTCAGGATGAGGTAGATGCCATGCTCGAATTCTTGAGGTCCAACAAACTTTCCAAAGCCGAGATGTTCGTTTACACCGAGCCGGTCGTAGGTGTTGGAGGTCATTCTGGAGACGGTCAAACATCTGGTATCCATGGTGGAGGTGAATTATATGGAGATCATCCCTACCAAAGTTACCATTATCCTCATTCCTATTTTCAGTACCAAGAGCAAGGTGAAGGTCATCATCAATCTTACCCGTCATATGAAGAAGAAGTTCAACCGGATCATGCCAACCAACCCCAATACAACTTCCAATCAGGCAGTGCTAGTTTTCACAACTACCATTATGGAGCTGATGAAGGTGTCTTTCATGAGCTGGATCAGATGGAAAATGCCCTGCCAGCACCAGTCAGTGACCCCTCCGATGAAGAAAGAGAGAACAATGTCAGTGCAGACAGCTCCGACCCTCTTAAAGGTGCTGATGATTCAGGACCGGAGTCAGACTCAGATAATGATGATGAGGTGGCTCATGACCGTGTACCAGTCCCCTACTACAATCACAATCCAGACGGAGATTGGATAGTCGACAACGACATGGAACCGCCGGAGGTTCCAATATGGGGTCCACTCACTAAGTTTATGAAGGGCCAACAATTTGGCTCGAAGAAGGAGGTGCGGCACGCCATTGATACTGAAGCAATGACTCGCCATTTAGAATGGCACACAACTCATTCCAACACGAAAAGGCTCATAGTCAGATGCCGTAATCATAACGAGGGATGCAATGTTAGGATCCGGGCCATCAACAGCAAAAGACACGGCCATTGGGTCATATCCCGTGCGGTGAACACACACACATGTGTGTCATCCATAACATCCCAAGGCCATCGGCAGTTGAAATCCAGGGTGGTTGCTGTGGCTATCAAGCATCTGATTGAGCAAGATCCTGACCTGAAGGTGAAAGTCATAATCGCTGACATTGCAAAAAGCTCTGGCCGCGGTATATGGTGATTGGGAAGAATCATATGCGTTCCTTCCCAGGTTGATTTTGGCACTGGAGGCATCTAACCCTGGCACTATTTTCTCCCCTCGATACCAAGATGAAGAGGTACAACCGCTAGAGCCAGGTAACAAATGCCATTTCAGACGAGTTTTTTGGGCATTCAAGCCATCTATTGATGGTTTCGGCTTCTGTGTCCCTGTGATCCAAGTGGATGGTACATTCCTTACCGGAAAGTACAAGGGGCACTCTAATGATTGCCAGTGGGGCGGATGCAAACAAACAAGTCTTTCCGTTAGCCTTAGCCATTGTTGAGGGAGAGAATACTGATAGCTATGGATGGTTTTTCCGGCAAATTCAGCTCCATGTCACTAGGAGGAAGAACCTGACAATAATCTCTGATCGGCATGCCGGGATTAGAGCTGCCATCTTAGGTTTGGATCCATCCTGAAAGTGGTCCCAAAGGTGGTGCATATGACACTTCAAGAGCAACTGGAACCATCATTTCAAGCGAAAGAAGCTTGCTGATAATTTGTGGTGGATTGGTAAGCTCTCTATTGGTTGTTTCATTTTGAAGAAGAACAATATCATATATCAAATAAATGGTACACTTGTTAGACTCTTTATAAAGAGATGCACGTCTAAGGAAATGAGGTTTTAAGCTATTATCATGATCCTCCCATTTCCTGGGAAAATCGGGTATTAAGAGATCCTCGGATCCCCCCCCCCCTTTTTTTGTAAAAAAGGCTGCGTTTCTAAAGAGTCTAATGAGAGTACCTGATTGTTGTTCGAATTGTAATGAATTGCCGAATTATTACTAACGTATTACTTAATTGTGATTATATCAGCTGTTGCATACCAGGAGAAAAAATTCAAGGAGAAGTTGCAGAAGATGCGCGAGTTATGCCCTGAAGGGGCACAGTGGCTGGATGGACACGACCTATCCATGTGGACATTTCATAAAGACGGAGGTACAAGATGGGGTATAATCACAACGAACTCATCAGAGAGTATCAATTCTGCCTACAAGGGTGTTCAGGCGCTGCCAATCTCTTGTTGGAGTGACAATATCCTGAAGTTGTCGGTTCTCCCATACCGCGTTCAATTCCGCCAACTTCGTGGGCCAATCGTGAGTACCTTGCTGATCATCTCGGCCGTGAAACGCCCTTTGACTCTCGGGGACTTCCAACGGAATGCACTGCTCCCGACCAAACTGACGAAGACATCGATCCGACAGGTGCCACTCCACGGTCCCTAAACAAATGAGAGGAACCCTCGTGCACCATTGCCCGATATTCTCAGGGATTTGCTATAAATGCCAATGAACGATGTTCGCTGGGTATGGATCGAATTTGATCTACAAAAAAATATTAGTAACTTAAGTTAAATCTGATTGGAAAAATACATGTACTCCATGAAATAAAAGTTATAGCACTTAGAAGTTTTCTAGTTACCTCTCCTTCCCAAAGTCGCTCTAGCCTCCTCCGATACTCTACCAACTTGTGTTGGGCAAGGTTGTCGCATGTTGAGGCTCCAACCCACCTTATTAATAAGACGATAATTAAAATACACTCAATTAAAATAAGCTAAAAATTAAGGAAAATTGTGTTATAAAATCATGATGGGGTACGAGAAATTTACCTACAACCATAAGCTTCGAGTCTTAGGGGATGATCGGGACCCCAATTCCTGTCGGGACATTGGAGCGGTGCAATCCATGGCAGATTCTTCCAAGCCCAAAACTGGACGATGAACATTGCGCCGCCGACCTCCCTCACAGCTTTGAGAGATGCGTTGCACAAGTGGTGGTAGATATTAGCTAAGCAAGCGGATGCCCAGCTCAACTCCCCCATCGCATCCCAACTACCAAGGAGGATCCTAAGCCATCCACAACCAATTAAATTGCTCGATTTTTTGGAGAAGAACACTCCTCCTATCATATGCCCATGAGATAGACACGAGCATATCTTTCCTTCTCCAGCTCCGGACTTTCCTCGGTTAGGGGACCCCATCTTTTTCAGGATCGTGATGGTCCCTAAAATACTTCGTCAACCAAGTCATTGATACTTGGCATTTCCTCAATGGTGGCAAGCGATCCGTCGCATCAACGCTCCCCTTGGTTGGTACTTTCACACCCAAAACACTGTGGATACTGCCAACCGGTCATACCGTCACGATCTTGGGGGGGGGGGGGGGGGGGATCACTCACACACACCGCTTTGCCGTCGATAGGCAGATGAGTTAGGATGGCGACGTCCTTGAGTGTGATGGTGCACTCTCCTTCGCGAAAGTTGAAACAATGTGTCTCCTTTCTCCATCTCTCAACCAATGCGATAATGAGTTGGCGATCGACTTTTATGCCTACAAAATGCCTAATCGACTCCAACCGTGCCATTTTGAGATAGGGCAAGATAATTGGGTTCCATAGGAGCACATTGGCCGTACCCCTGTAGCGGAGTATTTGTTGTGCCTCCTAGCAAAAATTTCAACGTTATTTATGATATATTAGTAACAGTTTAGTCCTATAACTAAATAAATTGAAAGTAATGATTTAATTTCAACCATTATTAAAATTATTTATGATATATAAGTAATAGTTTAGTCTTATAACTAACTTAATTAAAATTAATGATTTAATTTAGAATATAATTCTATTATAATTATATTATTAACAATCAAAATTTATGTAATTTGCAGTTTTTTCCTAAGATATATACATATAGTCATAAAACAAACATACTAAATTAATTGGCATAAATAACATTCGAAATGAATAATAATTTAAGGAGATACATACATATTCAAACATTTGAAATAAATAAATTCATTTAAGTAAATATAAAAATAAATCGTATTGGTTGTTTGGTAAGTAATTTAATCGTATTGATTGTTTTAAATAATTTAATCGAATACAATGCAACACTCATTAGACTCTTAGAAGAGGTATACATCTTCTTAGAAACGCAGCCTTTTTGACAGAAAAGGGGGGATCCGAAGATCTCTTAATACCCGATTTTCCCAGGAAATAGGAGGATCATGATAATCGCTTAAAACCCCATTTCCTTAGACGTGCATCTCTTTATAAAGAGTCAAAGTAAGGACCGCTATGTATTCGATTAAATTATTGAAAACAACCAATACGATTAAATTATTTAAAATTTATTTTATATTCCACTAAGTACATTAGCAAAATAAAAGAAAGATAAATGATGAAGAATTGTATGTACCGGGTGATCATTCCAAACATCCCTTGAACGATGGTTGGATTGGTCATACAAGTCGATCGGATCAATAGGCCCTTGATCCAAATAGTACCGTTGGTTGTATATATTCACGTCGTCCCCAACCTACAAGAGAATAACAACAAGGTTAGTACATATATTAATTAAAAAGCTTATAACAAAAAAAAAATTGACCAAAATAATGATTATGTACCGCTTGAAATTCATCATAATAAACTCCCTCTTCTTGGAACCACTCGTCCATTTTCTCGCGAAAGTCGGACAGAGATTCGGCGTCGGACAGAAATTCGGCGGGCGAGTTTTGAGGGAAAAACCAAAGAAATGTTTTCTGATGGCAGATCGGACTTAGCCGCAACCAACAAACCACTATTTCCTAGGCTTTTGGGAGGGGCGGGGAGGGGTTAGAGAGCTAATTATAGAGAGAGAGAGAGTGGAGAATGGTTGTGGTGTGAAAAAATGAGAGGGGGGAGGGGGTATTTATACCCATCAGACCGCACCCTCCAGGGGCGGTCTGGTAATTTTTCCCCAGTCAAAATTTCCTAGGCTTTTGGGAGGGGAGGGGAGGGGAGGGGTTAGAGAGCTAATTCTAGAGAGAGAGTGGAGAATGGTTGTGGTGTGAAAAAATGAGAGGGGGGAGGGGGTATTTATACCCATCAGACCGCACCCTCCAGGGAAGGTCTGGTAATTTTGCCCCAGTCAAAACCGCACCTTCCCGGCACGGTTTACGCTCTCCAAGGGTTGACCGCTCCCTAGCGCTGCGGTCTTCGATCCGTGGCAAGGATCGCTGACGTGGCGTGCGTTCTGCCCGCTAGATCGCCACCTGATCCTGCGGTCTCCAAGGCCGCTGCCCACCAAACACAGACCGCACCTTGGAGGTGCGGTTCCCAGTCTGACGTGGCACAAAACTCACCTCCAAGGTGCGGTTTATACATAAAATGCACCTTCGAGGTGTGGTCTATTAAAAATGATGCTATTAGTGAAAAAAATTTCGGCTGGGTGCTAGTTTTGTAATTTTTTTAAAGGTGTTATTATTGTAATCCCTCGGGTCTTGTGGTTTGAATATCCACAACCATAAAGTCGTTGGGATAGACAGAGAGGCTATGTGCTTGAGCTTGGCCTCTTCCGACATTAGTGGGAAAGCTCAAAATAGAAAGCAATTATAAGCGAGTTCAATATGGCGCAAGACAAGTGCTTTAAAAAGGCGTAAGACAAGTGTTGGAGTCTTATTTAGTACCTAGCATGTCTAGGTGGTACCTAGACGACAAGTTTAACAAAAAATGGCAAATTTCAATGACAATTTTACATAACTTTTGTCTTTGATTTCAATTTGAAATGATTAATAAGCCTCTGTGTGCTCGTCTAGCCTTGTGGGTTGTGGCTCGGACGGGCATGTATTGCTTGCCTCGGGTTTTCAGCATCAGAGGATCTCAGATCCGTACCTTGCAGAGCTCCTTGCATCTAGGGATGTGATCTTGCTTACAGCTTCTAGAAGTTCGCCTCGTGTCATCATCAAGGGCGATTCAGCAGTGGTCATCTGTCACCTTAGTCTTGGTGCAGTGGAGGATTCCGTTGGTGGCTCTATCCTTCGAGATTGTCTTCTGATTCTTGAGTCTCTCTCTGAATGTATAGAGTTTAGGGCGGTTCCGTCCGCGGACTGTCAACTGGGTTGCCCATAGAGTGGCACTAAAAGCCCTGCTGCTGTCTCGGTTAGAGTTAGCTTCTTTTGACCTTGTAGGTTGGCTTGTTAGTGGGGTTGGGAGGAAGTATGGGTAGGTTTGTTCTAACTATCTCTTTGATCTTACTCGGACAAAAAAAAAAAAAGCAAAATATGTCATGATTTCATAGAATAACAAGTTTATGGAAGTCGTGGATTGTAGATAATTTTGGAAAGATTAGCTACAAAATTGTTTTAATCATTGTCCTGTCAACACGCTTAAGCGTTCCTCACTTTGATTTATCACGTCTCACATCAATTAATCGTGCTAGTTCTGCCTAGGCGACGAACGCCTAAGTACCTACCTAGTGTCTAGGTGAGACGTTTTGCCACTGCCTGACGATTATACGCGCCTAGGCGTATGCGAAATTATGCCTTCTTGAATATTAGTAGTATAGGATACAAAGTGTAATTTTGTTGTTTTCAGGTAGTTATATGTAATTTTGTAGATTGCAGGCACTAGTTAGTAATTTGGTTGTTGGTATATACTTGTTGTACATTAAAACGTACCTCACTTGTCTCTAATCAATCTAAATTGCATTAGTCAGCTCATCTTTTGCAAATCTAAATTCTTGAATCTAGCACGGTATCAAAGCCACAAGGGATTGTTTTCTTCCGTTTTTTATTCGATTTCTCGGCTTTCTACTTCATCTGATCGATGGTGACTGCTCTGTTAGTTCCTCTGGAGATCAATATTGATGCTAATATAATCATCTCTACTACCTCAACGAGAGCTATAATCATGCTCTAGTTCTTGTTTCGACACTCGTGCATGGCGGAAATTATCAATCTTGGGCTCGTTCGATGCGCATGGCGCTCTTAGCGAAGAACAATATCGTCTTTTTCAACGCTGATGCTCCACGATCGGTTGACGATGATTGTCTTTATCAACACCTTCTAAAGGTTTGCTCATCGTATTTTGGTCTCCTTTCATTTTGACCAAAGTAATCATTCCCCAAGCGTTGATGAAAAACTTCTTTGTAATTTCTAGTGAAGTAGAGAATGCCAAACTTTCAAGGAAGTGGCGCACGTTCCTCATCATACATTTGCTCGAGTCCAAGCTAGCTAGAGTTCATGATCAAACATTTCAAGCTATCCATACTTTTGCTCATATGATGATGAAGATTGAGATGAATACATGATGATTTGTTGTGGAAAATTTGAGAGAAGAGAAGAGTGGGGTGAATTTTTTTCCACTTAAGAAGTTATATTATGTAGACAAATGAGTTGGAGCTAGATACTAATTAAGTGGTGAGTTGTTTCAAGTACTAATAATTGACAATACTAGTAGGCAACTATATTGTACAAAGAAGAAGTGATGGATCACTAAATTGTTTTGGATATGAGATGAGTGGTGTGTGTGGTTTCAAGTATTAATAATTGACTATACTAGTGCACAATTTTGTATTAAGATGAAGTGATATATCACTGAATCATCTGGACAATAGATGAGTGGTGTGACTAAATTTCAGTATCAAAGATTGACGAAAGAAGATGTGAACCATAGTGAAAGTCATTAGTTGATTATTTCAAATATAATTTTTTGGTATGATAAACTGATCCAATTTTATCTGAATATTCGTATCGAATTATCAACAACCAATATAAAAATTAAATTAAAAACATAAGTTGAAGTGTTCATAAGTTAGGTTTACTAAACATAAAAGGGTAAATACTATTTTTTAGCCAAAAATTTTCCCCATTCTATAATATTAGCCAAAAATATCGAAATATTAATTATTAGCCAAACGTTTTGTAATGCATCGAAATATATTAGCATTAATTCTGTTACCATTAGTTTTTTTGTTAATAGTGCTTCAACTCAGCAAACACATCAGCTCCACATCTGATATCTTAAAATTTTGTCTATTGTTTTTTTTTATTTTTGATTTATCAATTTAATAGTTTCCTCGTTCCTCTTCTCTTTTAAACCAACGAAGGGAGATTGAACAAGGCTTGCTGGAAAAACCCTAGCGGTGAGAGAATCGATTCTCTATCCTCGTCATCGCCGTGCAAAGCCTCGCCGCCGCCTCTGAGCCTGGCCGCCACCGTCGTTGGGCCTCGCTGCAGCCGTCTCTTCCCTCTAGCATCCGTATCCACCAAAAGAACCAGAGAAACAAGAAGCATCATAGAAGCCATATGCACCAGAGAAGCAAGAAGCAATCAAGGCATAATTTGTGTTCGGTTTTCTATTCTCAATTAAAGAAACTGAACTTATCGATCCTCAATCCCAGCATTTTCTTCACTTTTGGCAAATTGATGAAGAAACCCTAAAATTACAGAAAGGGTTCGATTTTGAAGAAAGGATTTTGTAACCAAACCAAAAATTTCGAAAGGGGTAGGGTTCAAATCGGAAAACTTGAACCACCTTACATTGCTAGAAGATTTCTCAGCAAAAGATTGACGAATGATTGAAGTGTCACTCTCTCTTCGTCTTCAGCTGGCTTCGTCGGGTGGAGAAGGGGGACAAGGGAGAGACCAGAGGAGCTGAGGGAGGTGATAAGTCGGGACTGAGGGTTATTTTTCCTTTTCTTTCGTAAATCATTATTTTTTAGATTTAAAATTAAAACCAAAATTGATCGCCGCGTGGATTCCAACTTAACATCACTACAAAAAAGACAGGCAGAAGTGACGGAATCTTTCTGACGACACTGTTTTTTGGTTGGAAATAAACTTTTTTGTGACAAAAATTTATCGTCCTCATAAAAACGTAAAATATTTGTGACAAACATCAATCCTCGTCAATAAAGCCCAAAACATTTGTCACTAAAAGTGAAAATAACAAATACGAGGAACTTCATCTAACTTTTACTAAGGACATTTCAACTTTTGTCACAAATACAAATTATTTATGACCAAATTGAAATAGGCGTAAGAAATAATATGTTTCTTTTTACGCCGAAAAGGAGGGGAAAATTCATGAATATGTTTTTTTGAGGACACATATTTTCATCAGAAAATGTTTTTGGAAATAGTATTGTTTGTTAGGAATTTCCCTATCTCTCAGAAAGACAAACGTTTTTATGAGGGAACGTATTTGGTCTCGATAAAAGTTTGTTAGAAAAGTGACTCGACAAAATGGCCATCACAAATGATTATTTCGTTGAAAAAACTTCGTGAGGAAAACACTTTCTGTGAAGAATTCATATGTTGTCGATAATATGCAAACAACGTTGTCACATATAGAACATTATTTACAAATTTCGCTTGTCGGGAAAATTTCTTTACATATGAACAAATTCTTAGTTTTAAGAGATGAAATTGAAAATAACCTTAAACAAAAGGTCATGGATGTACTCGAACCATGGATCTCTTGTTCGCAAAACAAAGTCCTAACCAATTAGACTGGTAACATTTTATGTTAAATACATGTTTCGTTGAGTATTTATTCCTAACAAAAATCTATAAGCAACAAAGTGCTCTCTGCCTTCTCTGCAAATTCATTCCCTTTCTTCCTCTGCAATAAACGAAGGAAGCCCAAAACATTCGCTTTCTCCACTTGTGTTCAACGACGATAGAATTGGTGGTTCTGGGTTTGCAACCGACAACGATGGGTGGTGATTCTGGGTTTGCATCCGACGGCGATGCAATTGGTGGTTTCTCCACTTGTGTTCGGCGGCGATAGACATTACCCTTTTTTTAACTAAACTCTAAACCCTAAAACCTAAATCCTGAACCCCGAATCCTGAACATTCCCTTTCTCCACTTGTGTACCTTAAACCCCGAATCCTTAAACTTAGAAAAAAACTGAACCCTATCCTGTAAAAAACTAAACCATAAACCCTAAATCTTGAAACATGTAAAAAAATTACCTTGAACCTATAAAAAACTTTACCCTGAGTCAGCGAGTGGGATCCAGGAGACACCCCCTGCTCGGGGGGGGATGCTTCCCCGTATGGGGGCTCGAGGGTCATAAACCCTGAATTTTAGCGCGGGCTACCTATAAACTTTCCATTCTATTAACACCAAACTTGAACTCTAAACCACAAACTTTATAACCCTAGAACACTGAACCGTAAACTCTAAAGTGTAAAACCCTGAACCTTAAGAACTTCCTCCAAACCCTAAAACCTTTAACGCGCTACATAAAGGCATAGTTAGTTAGAAAATACCTGTACGTATTATATTCGTCCAAAAACTTATGTATCCGTTCTAAACATGTATAAAACCCATATAACACTGTTAGTATCCATATATAAAACCTGTAATTATTTTTTATCTATTTAATACTTCTTGTGTCGTATTTTACTTAGAATAGCTTACTAGCTATTAGTTAAAAAATTGTGTCCATCCGTGTATAGGGTAAAATTCTTTATTAAAAACACGTACATCAATTATATTGTTTAGCTTTTTGTTGATAATCATTCAATTCAATTATATTTGAAGAATTTGAAACAAAAGTAACTTTGAAGACCAATTAAAAATTACCATAAATTCCTTCTCAAGAACTGTACACTTTTTTAGCGGAACTCCTCTGTCTTCCCCTTGTCAAGCTAGTAATAGGTAAGCTGCCCTCCCCCGTAATACCCAATTTGTTTAGAGCAATAAAAATTACCATATAAAATCCTGCCAATTAGCTTTAAGCGTTGATCAATTGAGATTTGAGACTAGATAAAAAATTACTGTAATTAGCTCGTTAACAGAAAGGCAAGAAGACTAGCAGAGGCAATCATTTCCCAAATAAAAAGCAAACAAAAAATAAATTAATTATTAATCGGTGGGCAAAAATCCTACCTTCCTAATTCCAACTCCGACTCTTCGTTTCCCCTAACAATTTACCAAAACAAAATTAGCGGGGAAAATCCCGCCTTTCCATCCCCAAAACCGCCTTAATTAACTCTGTCAAAGAACCTTTCCACAATAACCAATCCCTTTCTCCAAAACCCAAACCCCTCTTCTCCCATTCCGAGATGGCTCCGCCATGGCCAGATCGAAGAAACGGTCCCTCCTGCCCAAGAACAACAACTGAGGTCCTCGCCTCCGAGTACCGAGCGAATGGAAGAAGAGGAAAGGAGCTCTCCCACTCCTGCTATCCAGCGACGACAAGAGGCTAAAAGAGCTTGCAGACTCCTGCTACCGATCGATCGCAACAAGAGGAGGATGCCTCTGCCTCTGCTACTCCTGCTCTAGAGCAACAGCAACAAGGAGCACTCGGCCAATCGTCGACTCATAAATCTTCTGTGGGTAATCCACCCAAGCGAAAGGGAAGAGATTCGAGCAAAGGGGTAAAGCGGGGGCATAACATCCCCTTGGAAATCCATGAAATAAGGTTCGTCGCCTCTGTTTTCGGTAAAAAAAAACTATGCCTAGAATTAAGTGGATGGTTGGTTCTTGCTGCCGATACTTAGATGCGCCACAACTTATTCTTTTGTTCATTTGTTTTGTGCCTAGTATGTTGGTGGTTTTTATGGTTTATGAAAAAAATTTCCAACAACTTAATAACGATCTATGAAACTTTGTAATGTAGGCTGAAAACAAGGAAGTGAACGAGGATGGCGAGGAAGATGATGATGCTAGCACTTCTAATTACTCTGGCTCGAAGGGTGACAAGTTTGATGATACCAACTCCATGTGAAGACTGAAGATGTTGTTGGTCAATTTGGGCCCTTCCTTCAGTAGTAGGGGTTATGCAGCATGTTATGTTTTGTGTTTAATTAAGAACAAATAGAACATATTTATGTATTTATTTATGCTGTGTTTTGTGCGTTTACTTCTGTAAGACATATTTTATGGCTAGGCCTCATATTTATGTTGTATTCTTTTTTCTTAATATTATAATAGTGTGATTAATTTTAATTATTTTACATATTACCATTCAATTGATTAATTAAAATTTCATTTTCAACCCAATGGTCATCCCAAATAATATATAGCAATAATTTACAAAATAAATAATAATTTCAAATACTATCAACCATAAAATTTTATTGGAATAATAATTTCATTTCTGAGGAGTTCTCCATTCATGAAGACTTTTACTCGTCAGAAATAACCAAAGGGTATTTTGGGAACAAATTTTTTTGCCTAATTATACAACCTTTTCTAACAATAAACAAGTCATCACAAAAACACATAAGGGTATTTTGGGATATAAATTCCAAAGTCTTATTAACAAAAAAAAAGTTTTGCTTACAAAAAAATATTCTCACAAATACTTACACTGACAAAGTAATTTCCTTAGAAATAGTTTTTCCTCTCTCACAAAAACTTTTCGTCAAACTTTTTTCCTCAAGGGTATTTCTTTTCTAATTACGATAAATAGGGTTTTGAGGATAATTTATCCTCACAGAAAAAGTTTTTATGACGCCAATTTTTTTTGGACTATTACCCACGGACCTTTACCCCATGACCCGCTAACGACCGTATTTCGTCAGGAAAAACTTTTAGTGACGAGAAAAGGCCTTTTGTGACGCCAATCGTCTGGTAACATCTGCCAGTCTTTTTTGTAGTGCATCGTCATGCTTAGTCAGCAATTCTAAGGGAGATATTAACAGATAATTAACGTTTGGCTAATAATTACTATTTCGATAGTTTTGACTAATGGGGAAAAGTTTTGGCTAAAAAATAGTATTTACCCAACATAAAATTATAAGTCTGACTATTTTCAGGATTCCATTAGGTTCAATTTTTGAGAAGACTAAAAGACTATAATGACCTTTACCCCTCTACTTTTTAGCTCCTAAGTTGTGATTAGGCATCATATGTATCTTTTTTGTTTCACTTTATTACTTATTATCACCCCACCAATTAGGTTTGATGGGTGTTGGGCCACACGATGTGTTACGATCTGGTTATGCATTGTCTGTGACTTGGTCTACGTGGCATGCCAGGGTGGAATTTAAATTTAATTATATTTACTAAAAAATCCCTACTTTACCAAATAGTCGTGTTCTTTTCCTCTTCTCCATCCGCCCCTTTCCATTCCTCTCTTGTCCTCTTTGTCGGAACCCCATTTCACCTCAGCCCATGTCAATCCATTCACCAATCAATCTCGTCCACCTCGCCTCCGTCATCCGCTCCTCAAACTCCCCTCCGCGACGCTCGCTATGGAGAGTCGGGAACGAGAATCATCGTGGGTACAATGTCAAATAAGTCCAACGCTAGATGTGAAAAATCCGGTGAAGGAATAGAGGCTCCAGCTCTAGCTCGATTCTCTCCAGGGACCACTGATGCAAAGCCCGCTAACAATAATTTGTGTTGTGGGAAAGTGAAAACCCTGTGTGATTTCATTGGTTTTGGCAGCATATATAGCTGGTCCAAAGTAGCATTACAAGACAAACTTACTTCTGATGCGAGTACGAACCAAAACAGGAAAAGTAGTAAAAATGTAACATTGGGATTAAAAGCGAAGTTTGGCAACTTGATGTAGTACGCTGCCGTTCCAGTTGAACGTTGTCGTTCCAGCCGAGTCTTCAGTCTGTGCCAGAAACGACGTCACTCCATTTCCTTCTTCCTTGTGTTTGATCTGCGAGGGGGAAATTCAAATTTGTTGAATTATCCCCTGATACCCGCCGCCAGTTTTTGCGATGAAGAAAAAGACAAGGGTTGAGCAGGGGGACTGCTTAGAAGATTGGGGAATAAGGTGAAGCTCTGTCTATTTCAACGTTTGTAGTCGCAAATCTTCGATTGGAGTTTTGGGTTTGTTTCTTCAAGTTATGTGATTGAGGAAGAAGGTGAAGAATAAATATGGGAGTTTGGGTTCTTCTATATCGATTTGGCTTGTAGGATTTCTGGGTTTGGATTCTTCGTTCATCTATTTTGCTATGATTCTGGTCAGAGGCTGTTGGGATTGACAGCGGCAGCACTGCTGCGTCCCACTTTCTTCCTTCTTATTTTCTTTTATCAATTTTTGTTTTTTTGTTTTTTCCTTTAATTAAAAAAAAAAAGAAGGGGATTCGGTCAATTAGACCAAATCCCGTGGGTGGATGTCCTCCAAAAAGATTTTTTTAATTTTAATGTAATAAACAATATTTTAAATTTGACATGGCAGGACACGTGGCATGACGCGTCGACTAAGAGTTGACGTGGAAGCTGACGAGGCGGCATCTCAGCTTGTTTTTGACAAACGTTAACGACATCTCTGACTTCGTCAATATTTCTAACGGAAATGGCTATAATTGTCAAGGTAGTTTCAAATCTGTGGCTATTTTTGTGTATTTTTCAAAATTTGGCAATATTTGTCATAAAGTGTAAAGTTATGGCTATGAAAGTGTATTTTGCCTTACTTTTAATTGGATACCTTTCCAATATGGCGTTAGAGATATTTTATGCATGGTTTTAGAAACCGTTAAATTTAATTGGGGATGACAATGTAACCCCTGAACTTTGGACTTCATGAATACAGGCTGGTTGTAAAAAAAAAAAAAATAACTGGGGAAACAATATGCGTGGTTGGTAACCAATTCCCTCCATTCTCAATATGGAGTTAGAGAAATTTTATGCTCAAATTCTATCAATTATGATCTATATTGGCAGTTGATTTAAACACATGGTATAATTTTTATTTGAGATGATACAAGATCTAATTTTCATCGCTCAATAACTCGTATTATTAGAATCTATTAGTTATAGTTTGAGTGATCGGATAGGATGCTAACAATAATAATAAGACTATGATAGTAACTAATGTATATAGTAGCTTCTTCCTCCACTCCGTCCTCCTCCCATTGCTCTCTGTCTTCCTTATTTCACCATAATTTGTAAAAAACCCCACCACACCACAAAAACCAAGCATTTTAATTGCAAAAAAAAAAAAAAAATCATCATTATAAAAAAAGTTATTACATTTTCATCCTTTATACCGTTTGTGGTTCGTCATGATGTTTCAAGTGTGGTTTCTAGCCTTTTTGATCGCCTTTAGCCTTTATGAGACTTCTGCTGTGGTTGCACATATTTTTATATGTTGCAGGGAACTTATGGTCTCCTTTGTGGGATTTCTGGTTTCTTTCGAGGAATTTGGGGTTAGTTTTATGAGGGTTATAGTCTACTTCAAGGAACTTATGGTCAGCTTTACGAGATTTTTTGTTTACTTCTCAGGAAACTTGTGGTAAGCTTTGTGGTGTGTTTACTATCTTTTCTGGAATGTTTTATGGGGTTTCTGGTATACTTTATGAGTTTTGTGGTGTGGTTTGTAGAATTTTTGGTCTAGTATGAGTTTTCTGGTTTGCTTCATGAGAGTTGTGGTAAAATTTATATGATTTCTGGTCTATTTTATGTTATTTGTGATATGGTTTGTTCTGTTTTTTATTTGCTTTATGACACTTGTAATCGCTGCCAGCTAAAGATAAGACGCAAAAATAATTGAGCAACGCCACGCACATGCTACCCTATAATTTTTTAAATTTGACAAAACATGTCACTCACTTCAAAAACCATCATTAATTATAGCCATCCCTTAAACAGAAAAGAAAGATGGATGGTCACGTTGGGTACGTACCGGTTATAGCTATCATATGGTTTCCTGCTCACATCCACACTTTACTAGTGTTGTCTTGCCCTACAATTCTGGCGGTTGTTGGGCCGCTGAGCATTACTCTGTTTCTTACCCACCACAAAAAAAAGTGGTTAATTAATTACTAGGCCGCAACTGACGACGACGGCCGGTGGGGCGATCTTTGTCCGCATGCAAGCTATCGCTTCGACGCTTCCTGTGTTTTTACTACACGTTGACGTCAGAGGGTACGTATAGGACGAAAGTTGAGCGACGAATTAAAATTGGCTGCCTGCCACCTACTCCACCAATTTCCCGAGCTCAACGTGCCCAATAATAATGGACCGTCGATCGAATCCAGTCCAGCCCAGTCGTCGTCTCTGCCAGCCAACAATTCATCACGGCCCGGCGCTTCCATTTTTAACCCCATTTTTTTCACTAATTACTGTACCAGGGTTACACACCTGTTCGAGAATTCTGAGTCAGCTACTGTCGACACACGAGCATTTTTCGTGCCTGATTTTGCCCACTATTGCCTCATCCTTTATAAATAGTCCTCAAATCTCAACAGTACAATATATACCTCATCTCTACTCTGAAATTCCAATTCACTGCCCAACACCAAAAAAGCTACCAAACATGGAGGCAAAGGCATCGTCCGGCGCCGCAGCAACGAAACCCCACTTCGTCCTACTCTCCAGCCCCGGCATCGGCCACCTGATCCCCGTCCTCGAGCTCGGCAAGCGGCTCGTCACCCACCACAACGCCGCCGTCACCGTCTTCGTCGTCGCCTCCCGCTCCTCCCAGGCGGAGACCGAACTGACAACCGAGGCCGCCGCCGCCGCCGGAGGAGCGCCGGGGAGCGGGAACTTCTTCAACGTGGTGAGACTACCGCCGCCGGACCTCTCCAACGTGCTCGACCCAGCGGCGGCGATGGTCACGCGCCTCTGCGTGGTCATGAGGGAACTGATTCCCGCGATCCGGGCGGCGGTCCAGTCACTCGCGGTCCGACCGACGGGTCTGGTCGTGGATCTGTTCGGAACCGAGTGTTTTGTGGTGGCCGAGGAGTTGGGGATAGCGAAATACGTGTTGGGCACTTCGAATGCGTGGTTTACTGCTCTGACGATCCAGTTGCCGGTTTTGGATGGAGAAGTGGAAGGAGAGTACGTTGATCAGAAGGAGCCGCTCGAGATCCCCGGGTGTCGTTCGGTTCGACCGGATGAGGTGGTCGACCCCATGTTGGACCGGAAGGATCAGGTGTACATCGAGTACAGACGCATGGGGGTCGAGTTCCGGAAAGCCGACGGTATGATGTCCAGTCCACCATCAAATTTTCTTACGCAACGCTAAATTTAATTATTTGGTTTTATGAGTTTTTGACGTTTTATAAACAAACAAATTGGACCAACATTTTCTCTGTTTATTAATTAAATCAATTCCCCATGTCAAACACCTCTTATTTTACTTAATAATTTGCGAAAAGGTAACATAGCCTAGTGGTGAAATCAATGGACCAATTGAGCTCTGGATGTGGGAGGTTCTGAGTTCGATTCCCAGTGGCGCCACTTGAGCGTTCCCGGCGGCACCCTTGGTATCGGAGGCGAAGCCTCCCCGATGTTGGTAGCAGAAAGCCCCGGTTAGTATGCAGGTAGCCCTAGTGGTTTAGTAGGCCTCGCTGTCGCTCAAACGGCACGTGAGGCTGAGATTTCCTGGATTATCAAATAAAAAAATCTCACTTAATAATTTTACTACGTGGTTAAATGTCACTTTAGTTTTTTACTATACACCCCCTAATTTAAAATATAAATTGTCCAATCATCCTTCACCAAACAAAGAAAAATGATACTGTCGTAGAGGGTGCTCAATTTTTGTGTTGTTACATTGTGTTTGTTATTCCTAGATGACAAAATCTATAGAGGTAATCTTAATTTTTAAATTAGGACGATTTGAGTAAACTTAGGATGACATTTAATTTAACAATGTAATGGATAAAATCTAATTGTTTTCTTTCTTTCTTTCTATTATTTTATTTAATTAAAATAATAACAACGTAGCACTTCTCTTTACGTAATTGATCTTTTATTGAATTATCGTGGCCATTATAAGAATTAAGAATTAGGGTGGTCCAAGCTAAAGCAATCTGTATGGCTATATAGTATATATATGGCAAGTCAATAACTATCATTGCACAGTACAATTATGCTGTTTGATTCCTCGGCATCTATGTTGTTTGTCTTCATTTGAGCAGGTATTCTGATAAACACGTGGGAAGATCTGGAGCCCACTACCCTCGCCGCACTGCGAAACGACGACTTCTTCGGCCGTAAGGTCATTCAGGGAGATATTCTAGCTATTGGTCCGTTGGTTCGACGTCCAACCAGACCATCGAACCCGACCAGCCAGGACTTATTCTCCTGGCTCGACCAGCAACCCAACGAGTCGGTGGTGTACGTTTGTTTTGGCAGCGGTGGGAACCTCTCCCCCGAGCAACAGATCGAGCTGGCCCATGGGCTGGAACGCAGCCAGCAACGGTTCCTCTGGGTGGTCCGCCGGCCCACTGGCGTAAAGGACTCGGCCTTCTTCAGTTCAGGAAAGTCTGAAGATATGGATGGCATTCATCATGACTTGGACAACCGCTACGGCCTGCCGGAGGGTTTCGTGGAGAGGACGCGACACGTGGGGCTGGTGGTCCCGGAGTGGTCCCCGCAGTCGGAGGTTCTGAGCCACGCGGCGGTGGGAGCGTTCGTGTGCCACGGTGGATGGAACTCGACGCTGGAGAGCGTGCGGAGCGGGGTGGCGATGATGATGTGGCCGCTGTACTCGGAGCAGAGGATGAACGCGACGTTGGTGGCGGAGGAGCTCCAGCTGGCGTCGAGGACCGAAACGATGCCGTGGAGGGGAGTGGTCGGGAGGGACGAGGTGGAAGGGATGATTAGGGAAGTGATGGTGGGCGAGAAAGGGAAAGGGATAAGGGAGAGGGTGAAAGCAGCTCAACGCAGTGGGGAGAAGGCATTGAAAGAAGGTGGCTCGTCTTATAAAGCTTTGGAAATGGTGGTTAAGAAGTCATGTTAAGATCGAGATACACTCTCCAATGAAATTCACGTCCATGATCGAGGGAGATGAGAAAGAATGGGCTTGAGTGATGTTATTAGAGAATCTTTATATATATTATCTAAAAGAGAATCATAATATTTGTTATATATGTGATGTTTAATATATGTTTCGATATAGTGGATTGATTCAAAATAAGAATGTGAACGTGTACTTTGGTGGTTATATGCCAATATGATGAGATCATAATAATATGAGACAGAATTCCTATCACCTTTCTTTTGAAACAAATTGTCAGAAACATGGCCTAGGCCGATTTATGTCAACCAATTATTCGTATTCTTTATATAAACAAATGCAGAGTCGTGGGGCGACCAACTAACAGTGGCGGATTTAGGGCTGGGTCACCCCGGGCCACGGCCTCGGCCTCCTCCGGTGCAGAGCTAGTATAATACGTATGAATTTTTTGATTTTGGGTGTTCAACCCAGTGATATTGAAAAGTCGGTCCAATGTTATATGATAATAAAATTTTCTATAACTTGGAAAATGGTCTAGATGAACATATCCAAATCACTACTCTCAATTTAGACGAAAAACTCTAGCCCCGATAATTTGTATTTGAAAAGAATAAAATAAACAATGAAATCTAAAAGTCTTACACTAAAAGTGTAATGTTCCATTGAAATAAAAAAACGTCTAAACTAAACCTCACTCTTCTATATCAGAACTCAAAAAAAATTTCAATTCCCCCAAAATAGAAAATTTGAACGAGGAGACGAACGAACCCGAAATTTTCTTTCCAGTCTTTTGATGAAGAAAATATTTACAAACTTGTTGAGTCATATTTAAATTGCTTCAGTTGAGTGGTGCACTAGATCTTAAAAGTTCTTTCCAGTCTTTTGATGAATAAAATATTTACAAACTTGCTCAAGAGTTTATCTTTGAGACTTTGAAGGCTATTAGATGCATTATTTGAAGAATTATCTACAATATTATGTCGTTCATGTGGTTCATAGTTAGGAATATGAAGTTTCATCCCTTGCAAAAATTACTAGAGATACACAATACGAATTGATTTGTCGGTTGATTCGTCTAGTGTTGATCTATTCCCTCTGCCATCTCTCTACCTTTTCAGCTTCCTCCCGTTAGGGCTGCCGCCGGCACATCTGGGTGATCGGCGGTAGCCCAAAAAATCATTTATTTCCCGTTTTTTCTGTTGCTTTCCTCCTTTCATCGCCTTCCTCTTCGGTTTTCCATTGTCTTTCCTGGCCTTCCTTGGCTTTTTCCTGCCGTCATGGCGTTCCCTCTTCCCCTAAGTGGGGTTTTCCTCATCCCTCTCATTAGAGGAGGTTTTGCCATGTTTCTGCTACAGATCTTCTAGATCTGGTTTGGCTCTGCTCTGTTCTGGAAATTTTCTTTCCAGTCTTTTGATGAAGAAAATATTTACAAACTTGTTGAGTCATCATTTAAATTGCTTCAGTTGAGTGGTGCACTAGATCTTAAAAGTTCTTTCCAGTCTTTTGATGAATAAAATATTTACAAACTTGCTCAAGAGTTTATCTTTGAGACTTTGAAGGCTATTAGATGCATTATTTGAAGAATGATCTACAATATTATGTCGTTCATGTGGTTCATAGTTAGGAATATGAAGTTTCATCCCTTGCAAAAATTACTAGAGATACACAATACGAATTGATTTGTCGGTTGATTCGTCTAGTGTTGATCTATTCCCTCTGCCATCTCTCTACCTTTTCAGCTTCCTCCCGTTAGGGCTGCCGCCGGCACATCTGGGTGATCGGCGGTAGCCCAAAAAATCATTTATTTCCCGTTTTTTTTGTTGCTTTCCTCCTTTCATCGCCTTCCTCTTCGGTTTTCCATTGTCTTTCCTGGCCTTCCTTGGCTTTTTCCTGCTGTCATGGCGTTCCCTCTTCCCCTAAGTGGGGTTTTCCTCATCCCTCTCATTAGAGGAGGTTTTGCCATGTTTCTGCTACAGATCTTCTAGATCTGGTTTGGCTTTGCTCTGTTCTGGAAATTTTCTTTCCAGTCTTTTGATGAAGAAAATATTTACAAACTTGTTGAGTCATCATTTAAATTGCTTCAGTTGAGTGGTGCACTAGATCTTAAAAGTTCTTTCCAGTCTTTTGATGAATAAAATATTTACAAACTTGTTCAAGAGTTTATCTTTGAGACTTTGAAGGCTATTAGATGCATTATTTGAAGAATGATCTACAATATTATGTCGTTCATGTGGTTCATAGTTAGGAATATGAAGTTTCATCCCTTGCAAAAATTACTAGAGATACACAATACGAATTGATTTGTCGGTTGATTCGTCTAGTGTTGATCTATTCCCTCCCGTTAGGGCTGCCGCCGACACATCTGGGTGATCGGCGGTAGCCCAAAAAATCATTTATTTCCCGTTTTTTCGGTTGCTTTCCTCCTTTCATCGCCTTCCTCTTCGGTTTTCCGTTGTCTTTCCTGGCCTTCCTTGGCTTTTTCCTGCTGTCATGGCGTTCCCTCTTCCCCTAAGTGGAGTTTTCCTCATCCCTCTCATTAGAGGAGGTTTTGCCATGTTTCTGCTACAGATCTTCTAGATCTGGTTTGGCTCTGCTCTGTTCTGGAAATTTTCTTTCCAGTCTTCTGATGAAGAAAATATTTACAAACTTGTTGAGTCATCATTTAAATTGCTTCAGTTGAATGGTGCACTAGATCTTAAAAGTTCTTTCCAGTGTTTTGATGAATAAAATATTTACAAACTTGCTCAAGAGTTTATCTTTGAGACTTTGAAGGCTATTAGATGCATTATTTGAAGAATGATCTACGATATTATGCCGCTCATGTGGTTCATAGTTAGGAATATGAAGTTTCATCCCTTGCAAAATTACTAGAGATACACAATACGAATTGATTTTTCGGTTGATTCGTCTAGTGTTGATCTTGCTCGTTTCAACAACTACTACGGAGAGAAAATTTTCCGCAATAAAACATGTGAAAACTTATTTATGCAATAAAACGAGTGATGAATTTCTCGCTGATTGCTTAACTATTTTCTTTGAGATAGAGTATGTTATTGATATACATGAAGATTCCATTATTTGATGAATTCACTAAATTAAAAGTCCGTCATGTACAATTGACATTGAAATGAAAATAATACTTATTTTTTTCTACACTGTTTAATTTTCTATTCAAATAAGGCATAGTGCTCAACTATGTTCTGGATCCGCCGCAACCAACTAACCAGGACAACCACCATAAACGCCTTTTCACACTCTTCTAATCTTTCATTTCCTCCGATATCTTCCCCGGATAACGAATCTTCCTCATCTCTGTGCGGCACCGGATCTAGGCTCTTTAGAGTGCATGTCTTTCAAATACCCCTCAACCTCATGGGGTGGGATTTTTGAATAGGCGCCCTTCTTTGTATTCCACTTTTTTATGAGTGATGACGCGTACATGGCTATTCTGTGCTGGTCCGACCGCCAGCCCAAGCCCAACTCGAATTACCAGACGTGATGGGCCATTAGCATTATTACTTATTATTTATTTTCCTTGTTATTTCAGTATTCCTTTCATATTAAGCAAGTCAGATGTAAGCACTATAGATATTCAGTTGTTGGAATAAGAGAAGTAGAAGAAGAAAACCCCTAAACCTAGTCTATTTTAGTTTATTCGTTACTCAACGCGACGCTAATGCGTCAATTGGTATAAGAGCCTGGTTCAAAAGAACCGAGCTCGTACCAACTCCCAGGGACGCGCAACGAGGCGGGTTTCGTGGAGGAACAGTTTTGTTTGTCTATGAAAAGGGACGCATCGGCCAAGAGCGCCGACGACAACACACACGTAAGCTCCGGTAGGCAAGGGCAGCTGCACTGTAACATCCCGTTCTGGCAAAACCCATATTTCGATCGCTAGAAAGTTCGCGATTTAAAATCGAGCATTTCGACACTATTTCGGCGAAAATCGGATTATCGATCGATCGGATAAGTATACGTATTATATATATATATATAAGCGGTCGGGATATAAATTTTACCGTCCATTTCCATTCTCTCATGCCATTTCTTCTTCCACTTTCGAACCGAGAGAAAAGCAGAGCAAGCGAAGTTCAGGGGAACGTCGGGGAAAAATTCTCCAGCTCAATTCTTGAGCTACAGTGATCCAAAAATCCCGTAAGTAATGCCTAATCCATCCATTCATCGTGATTTATCGATTTAGAGCTTTAAAACGAGTTTTTGGTTCAGGAATTTCTTGAATTCCCGATAAGCCAAATTAGGGTTTCGGAGTATCCGGAAGCCGGATTGAGCCCAAATTTCATATACGAGCTTCCTGCAGCGAGGTAATCAATCCTCTAGTTCTAATCCCTGAATTTTAGCTATTATTTAGGTCGGAGCCGGAACCACTGAATTTAGCTCCGGCCAGGGTTTGATGTGTTTTTATCGAGAATTTGACCCGGAGCCCAGAACTAATATTGACGGGGATACTGCAGGGGATATTAGGGCGGTCTCGGATTTTAATTCGGGGTTCGTTCCTTAAATTGACGTTTTAGTACGGGAAGGTTAAACCGGTGTTTGAACGACCAGAACTGGTGAGGGATTAGCACGGCATACCGGGTTTGTCGTATCACGATAATTATATTGATGCTTAGAATTGACCTAGGTGAACTAGAATGGCATGATCAGGGGTGTATGGAATTTTGTGCTATATGATGAACCCTGGACTGCTGTATGATATTATTGACTTGCCCTAATCGATATGAACCTTGTTTATGTGGATGATTGCCTACATGTTGCCATTTGTGGCTTAACTGTTGATATGACTTTATGGCTGTTCGATAAGGGTTTTTGACATGGTGTGATATTATGGTTGTATTTGGATCCATAAGTGGGGAAATAAACTTCCCAAGGTGATATTATGATGTTTTAAGGAGGATGACTTGCACGAGGGTTTATCCCGAGGAAGTGCAATTATACGACTCCTGATTTACCTATGTTGAGCCAATTGTGGCCTGGTCAAGTACATGTGCAAGTAACGAATTATGATTAAGCAAGATGAGATATGAATCATGTATAAGGATACCGAATATGAGTGTTGTGGTCTCACGGTCAACTACATAGTAATTAGGGCTCCCTATGCTATTACTCTATTATGATATGTATGATAGTCACACCTCTCATGTGGTGGTGACTGAAGAATTCTTATGAGATATGACCACACCCAGAGCGGTGTCGGGGTATGACTACACCCATAGTGGTGTGGGGTATGTATGACCACATCCGACGGGATGTTGGGGTATGTATGACTACATCCGACGGGATGTGGGGTATGTTTCCCGGGAGAGTTATTAGCATGGGAGTAGCCAGGCGCCTATAAGTAAAACATGATAAGATGCATATGCATAAGTCAAGGTGATTGAGTCTTTTGCCTATTGGGATATGAGGACGGCTGAGGTCCGATCCTAGTATTTTGGCTTGATTGTTAGATGTATGATAGGGGTATGCTCTGTTATGAACTCACTCAGCTATGATTATCTCACTCAGCTATGAGCTGACCCTCTTTTATTCTTCTTCTCTGCTTATGCTATGTGTAAGCAGATCATCATCAGCAGCAGTAGATAGGTGTATAGGTGGGAGCTGAGCTAGAGTTGAAGCCAGGATGAGGTATGGTCTTCAACTATTCTGTGCTTGGACTACTACTCGGGATTTTGGCCAGTGATCCACACCTTTTGTAAAAAAATGTTTTCAGAATGTTTTTCATGTGCATACTAGCTTCTGATGTAGTGTGAGATATCCACAGGTGTGGAAAGTTGATGATATGTGTATATTTGTGTAACTGTGTAAGTTGTGACGATTATGGTATGTATAAGTATGGTATGCAGTTGTGTAGTTTGAAACTGTGACTATGGATATGAGAAGCAATGTATATGGTTGTGGGTGTATGTCTATGTACACGGATTTATAGTATGAGATAAATTATTTTGCAGGTTTTAGTTACAAGAACTGTTAGCCCACTACGCGAGTAATTCATGTCGAAATTTTATTTAGGTAAATTTTGATAATTAATGTAACACCCGAGATTAATTCCGCTGCAATTGTATGAACAATATGATTAGACAAAACGTATAGGGTAGGGTGTTACAGTTTGGTATCAGAGCCCGGTTCCCTCTTTTTGCTGTTATGGCGTACTATACCCTATGGGAGGTTAAACACTCCTAAGGAGGGGAGTACCCCATAATGACTTAAACTGGGAATTGAGTTTGACATGATTATGTGTATTGGTATGTTGGATGAAATTATCTGCATCATGGTTTTCAAAATTGAGTTTTGAACTTCTATGTTTTCAAGTAATTATTTTGGGAAATTTTTTGTTTTAACCAAGTGAGAGATTTGGTGAGGAATGAATTTTGTGTGGATCAATCTAAGGCCAATATTTCCTTGTAGCTCGCACGGAAGTTGTCATAATGTTCCTACTGACCAGTCGAGAGGAGTGGGGGCGGTTGATGCAAGGCCGCCAGTATTAGATTATGCAAAGATGAAGAGTTTGGGT